TTCGGGAGGGTGCAGCTCAAATCGCCGCTCTCTGTCATATCCCACGTTCCAGACCCGGATGTATCACACACATCATTTCCGGACCTCCGGATCCGACCAACTTCTATCTATGTCCGGATCCGACCTCCATCTAACTTCCGTGCCTAATCCCTTTGTACATTCCTATTCCAGTTAGACTATATTATTTTCTGTACCTCATTTCACTTCCGCCTTTATTTTCCTCTGTTCTCATCTCCGGGTTCATTTACTATTTTCGATAGACTAGTGTTTGACTTTTCTATAACCTCCGTCCACAGCCTCGCATAGCTTTGGACTGCGCTGGCTTGTCCTCCATTAAGTCCTCCATAGTATATAAACCCTGTAGAATCTATGTACATCTTCAGTTTGAATATTATCTTAGACTCTGCTCATTCTCCCCTCTGTTTGACTTGAGTTATTCTCTCGTCGACCTCCGCTAGTCTTAGGGTTGATCCCGATAGACTTATCACCTCCGCCTCTACCTTTGGTAGTCCTCCGCTGTTTCCTTTCTAGTTCAGACATCATCTGGATTAGTCTTATCACCTGTTCCCGAACATCCGCCGGAATTCCCGCACATCGGACAATCGGAATCTGGACAACATCCAATACTTCTGGACATCGTCCATTAGCCTTCGGAAGTTAGGGGCACGTACTCGGGTAAGGGGCGCAGTGCATGAGCTGAAGCCAAGCCCTTCGGATTGAACCTTTGAGCACGATCTTAACACTCTCGAGGAGCGTGTTGTTGAGCAGGATGCTAAGATTGACACCCTGCAATGCCTTCATGAAGGCCTTCGACGCAAAATCATCCTCCGGAACCCAACATTTCCACTTCCGGACGCCCAAGGTGATGCAACATCATTTTTGCTTCATCAACCTGTCCCTCCGGTGATGTCAATCCTCGCATCCACACTTCCTCCTCTCATTGACCTGTCTATGGAAGGGATGGAGCCCAACCCCCCCCCAACCTCCAGGATGAGTCTGCCATCAACAGACTCATATTTGAGCTCAACCAAATTCATCCTGAGGTTTCACAGACGCCTGGCGAAATTGTGAAACCGGATGATCTGGGAAATCTTTTCCCAGAGTATGATTCAGTTGAAGAGATGGATGTTCAAGTGAAGGGTGAACCTTCTGGTGAGGATGTTGACATGACTACATAATTAAATAGTCATAGATGTATATGCAATGTTTTCAATCAATGTTACCTTTGTTATCAGTAACTTATCAATTCACCGAGTGCTGAGACCTGAGACCCAAGGCCTGAAACCTGCAACTCGAAACGAGTGGAAGACTAAATGTTGCAAAATTGATGACATGAAAGTGTTACTCCCAGAACACTGAAATCCAAAACTCAATGGTTGAATCACTGAGTGCCAAGTGCCAAGTGCCAAGTGCCAAGTGCCAAGTGCCAAGTGCTGAGTGCCAAGTGCCGATGCCCAAAGCCCAAAGCCTGAGGCTCAAAACACAACACTGGACACAATACACCATATGGTATTTCTTACAAATTTCACGGAGGTCCCATCGCAAAACCACAAAACTTATCAGTGACTTATCGATTCACTGAGTGCCAAGACCCAAATGCCGAGTGCCAAGGCTTGAAGTCCGAAATACAAAATGAGTGGAAACGCACATTTTGCAAAATTGTTAACATGGAAATATTAGATTGTCTTCAACAGTTTGCCGGAAGTCATTTTCCGATCCCCGAGCCCAAAACCTGAAACCCAGAAAACCCATAATGAGTTCTACAGGTTTTCTGGGTTTTGGGCTCGGGGATTGGCAAAGGACTTCCGGCAAACTGTTGAAGACAATCTAATATTTCCATGTTAACAATTTTGCGAAATGTGTGTTTCCATTCATTTCGTGTTTTGGACTTTGAGCCTTGGCACTCAGCATTCGGGTCTCGGGTCTCGGCACTCGGTGGATCGATAAGTCACTGATAAGTTTTGTGGTTTTGCGATGGGACCTCCGTGAAATTTGTAAGAAATACCATATGGTGTATTGTGTCCAGTGTTGTGTTTTGAACCTCAGGTTTCGGGCATCAGCACTCGGCACTCGGCACTCAGCACTTGGTACTTGGTACTTGGTACTCAGTGATTCAACCATTGAGTTTTGTATTTCGGTGTTCTGGGAGTAACACTTTCATGTCAACAATTTTGCAACATTTAGTCTTCCACTCATTTCAAGTTGCAGGTTTCAGGCCTCGGGTCTTGGCACTTGGCACTCGGGTCTCAGGGTCTCGGCAATCGGTGAATCGATAAGTCAATGCTGAATTCCAGGGTTTTAGGATCGGCATGCAGTGAATTTTGTAAGAAATTCCATATTGTGTATCGCTTCCAGCCTCAGGGTTTCAGGCTTCGGCACTCGGCACTAGGTGATTCAATCAGTCAGTGGTAACACTTTCAGTTTTGTGGTTCGGCTCTTGGCACTCAGTGATATGTCTCAGGACATCAATATTTCACACATTCCTGCGAGTATCTAGTGTCCAGTCTGGAGCTTCCGGTCATCGGGCATCTGGAATTCGAGACAGTGATTTCTCGTTGAAAAATGAATGTTGTACCATGGGATTCAATTTTCGGGCGTTGGGACTCGGTGATCCGTGCATGTCAGACAAGTGCTTTATATATTTATATAGTAAACCAATACCTTGGCCTATATGTCTACACAATATCTCCCTACCTCGGCCCACCCGTCTATGTAATATATTACCTCATCGGCCCACCAGTCTATATCATAAATAATTTCCTGCACTCTCGGCCCACCCGTTGATATAATAAATGTTTTACTGCTCGCTTGGCCCACCTGTCTGTACAATTCACAATGACCTCAGCCCACCCGTCTATATAATAAATATTCCACCGCTTTCTCGGCTCACCCGTCTACAAAATTATTCCTGTATGTCGGCCCACCTGGCTATACCATGTACCTTTACATCGGCCCACCCATCTACAAAATGATTCCTATACATCGGCCCACCCATCTATATAATAATGATTGCCTCTCATCTCCCTTCAGCCTAGCTGTCTATAATATACATGTCCATCCTACTGTACATATTCCCCAGATGGGCCCACCCATCTCCATCAGTAAAAATATTCATCCCGGCCCATCCGACATCATCAAGCATATATATAACATTGGCATAGATGGGCCCACCCATCTCCATCAGAAATAATATTCCCCCTGGCCCATCCATCAACATCGGGGATATACATCACATTGGCCCATAGTCCACTGGCCCATCTTATACGGGATATTATGTAGGTTGGGTGACCCATATAATACGGAATTTGTCACTGAAGGGGCTCGAATTTCGGAAACAAACTTACAGTACCAGGTGAATACGTGCTGGTCGTATTTACTGCTAACACTGCGGTGTGGTTGAAGTTGATGAAGTAGCCAATGCCATCGTGTATGACAAAGTTATTGGGACTGAGGTCCTCGTGTAGGACTCGTCTTTCAATTATTGCTTTGTGAGCTAAAATCCATCTTCATTAGCGAGTCTATGTTCTGTGCAGTTGATATCACTCACCCATTACAAAGTGACGAAAAGCCACAATCAGCTCTGTTCTAGAGCTAAATTGAGAGAGTGGTACCCCACAAGGGCTCAAGAGAAGACACCAGTGAAATCAATTACAGAATGCGGTGTCGTCTTGTTGATCCTGGTCGTATTTCTCATGAATGCACACCATGCAATCAGGCTGCCCCTCGTAATAAACATCCCAATCATCAATGAGTTCGACAATGTTAGGAACACCCTTAAGCATCCTCAGAACGGTTGGCTTGTGCATTCCCCACGACTCCTCCACCCAACAATCTTTCAGAGCATACTCCTTTCCTTCCTTGTTTCTAACATGATAACAGACTGTTCCCCTGCAGAAAAACCCATGGCTCTTCCACAGCACAGCCATGATTGAATAGACATTTTTCTTGTTGTCTTCCACCCAGCCTATTGCCCCATCTGCAAGATTGACATGGGTGCCATTGCACGCAGCATGACACATATGGATAGTGGGATCAAGGCCCAGGTAGTGGTTATCCGGAAGTGTGAGGGCAGCTAATGCATCGCAGAGGCATATAGAGCCAGGAGACTTGTGAATGTTGAAAGGAAGGGATATGATGATGCCAGAGTGGTCGAAATAATGTGAGCGAAGCATATTCGCACAGATTGAGTAGACAAGTACGAATCGACACCATGGTTGTTCTCGCATGATCAAATATGCTTTGATTGCTGACCCCCAATACACTGCTAAACCTCTGTTCTTGGAAAGATCAGAGGAGGTGTGCTCCATGAAGGCCAGGACATTTGCCCATGACTTCTTTTCCTTCAGGAGCGCGAAGTCGAACAGGGATAAATCAGGCTTCTGGGCATTGAAAGTGTCTGGAATAGCAGTGGTAGAAAACTCTCCTGTTCAGTAGTGTGCCCTCATCGCAAATGTGTAGGGGATGTTGTCCTTCAGTGAGTTGCGCAAGTGGTACTGTATGGTATAAAAGAGCCAGCTGAATGTATGTCTTGGTAGGGATGCACCACCCTATCGTCGTCTTTTCTTCGATCCAGCTTGAAAGTCTTGGCCATCCCAACTCCCTTCGAGTAGATCAGTCTTTTCCAAGGATTGCCGACCCGAGTGAACCCTCATAGTTGAGCTTTGAGCCACTGCCATTATCTGTACTATCATCAACATCATCATCATTGTCGTTGTCGTCCCCATCGATCTCTGTGGCTGAGCCTTCATCATCCTCCAGTCCATCGGTCTCTGAGTCACACTCTTCAGTCCGCTTGACTTGTTTTCTGCGGTTGAATTTCCATCCCTTGCTAGTGTATGCATCTGGTCCTGCAAGCCTATTGTACTTGATCAATTTAAGGCTTTCTACCTCAATTTTGGTTCGAGGAACGATTTGGTTGAAAATGGAGGTCTTGAACTGCTCTTGAACTGTGTTGCTGACACCCTCGTGAATAACACAGGATTGCAGCTCATGCTTGAGGAGGGGTTTGATGGTGTCCAAGGTACATGGCAATTCACCAACAGGGACGCCGATAGAGCTGATTCTATTGCAAAGAGGCCGGTCGATGTCGACGAGGGATGAGACTGTAGTGTTAGACAGCATTTTTTCATTGAGTGCTAGTCAACCTGAGCTAACATTGGCGACATGGATGTGGCATGCATTGGCCTCAATGTGGTGTTTGTTGCTTGGTGTTGATCAAATCTCCCTTATCACAGTTCACCAGGTTCACCATCCAGGTAGGCCCATCAGCAAGCTGCTACACATCTCACAGCGCGCACAGATATGCACAAATGTGCACAGATCTCACAGTGCATACAGATGTGCACAGATATCACAAGTATCACAGAATAGCATTACCATTGAAAAGATAGACATCTATCCTTGTGAAGCGTAATAAAGAGTATCATAGATCTGCTTATCAAAATACTTGTTCAAAAAAAAAGATGAAGAATGATGTGATGAGGTCGCTTTCATTAACCGCACATCCACTGCTGCCCTGAATTGAGGAATGAGGTTGATGAATGAATGAACTTGCCGAAGGGGAACTATATCACCCACTGGAGAACCATTGGCGTGCTTAGCACATTTCACAATGTGCATTCCAGTTACCTGGTCAACTGCGCCAATCTTCATGTTATGGACATAACACAGGTACTGATCTTGCCATCCAATACGAGAACCTCGTCGAGGCATCGGGTGCATGATGAGCTGCAATTTGCAGACGGTGTGTCCTGAGAGGGTCAATATATATAGGCCAAATTGATGAGTAGAAAAGTGCTCACCTTTTAACCCAGACTGGGTGTCACGAGTACCTTTAACAAACCATTATTCTTTCCTGAATCTTCCTAAACGCCAATACACAGCGCCTAAGCTTAACCCTAACCCTACCTTGAAAGCGTCTATTATTCCCGAAATACCTTTAGCGCCCACAACACGTGTCTTCGATGTAACTGATGAAGAAGACGAGTTCTTTGATTGTGAATAGATTAGATTAGATACGATAAGATAAGATATGGTCACGTGATGCTTCTTTAATATTCTACGATGTTCTATGGTACGATTCCCTTTCTCTTTTTATGATTGGCTAGTAGTTATAACTCAGTTTCAATCTCCGTCTCAATAGTTGTATATAGGTAGCATGTCTTGGTCGATAGTTCCTTAGTTCAAACCTCTTGTATCTACATTGTAGCAATCCAAGACGTACTTGCTCCTCTCCTCTCTTGTCCGATAACCTCAGTTTGAGTCCTAGTCTTTGACCCAGCGTTAATTCGTTATTGGGTTGTGACACTGGGGCCATTCATACTGTCCATCAATATTCACAAGTACAGCATCCCTTCAACCTTTCAACCACTCAGGGGATGAAGGAGAGGTGTGCAAGGTTTGGGCCAGTAAGGCAACACTCGAATCATGGTATGAAACCTGTTGTAAGCGAACAGTGTGCCATACTTGAACTTGATCAAAGGGAAGAATTGGAGGACGGTCAAGAAGTGATCTTCTTGGAACCCCAACTCCATGGATCATGTTTCTGTTCCTCATATCACATTGTAAGAAGGCCGAAAGAGCATGGCAGAGGTCCAGTAGGTTGAAATTGTCGGAGATGTCATCAAGTTTTATCCCAGTGCAGGTTGGATTGAAGTTCAGGTAAATGGCAACATTACCAGTGGTAAATGTTCAAGGCGGGCCCAGGTAAATGCTAGCTTGATGTGACAGAGTAGTTATATCCTTGGCCCTGTTGAAATAGTTAGTAGTAACACGTTGTAAAGAGTAAATCTCAGCTGGGCTCAGCAGAAATTGTACTACCTAGTCAACAATGTTTAGGTAGATCTTAGCACGACCTATGCTGATATACTTGCAGAGCAAGTGTGTTCGATCCTAAAGGGATTGCTAATTGGTATTAGTAGTAAAAATGTGTCAGTAATGCAAATAACAAAATGTCCGATGCTGTGAAATGATGTCCGAAGGTAATCCGATGATGTCTGAAGGTACTTATACAATGTCCGAAGCCAAAGTGCGATGTCCGAGATTTCGGACTTTCGGACTTCACGATAATAGGTCAGAAACTTTATAACGAGTGTTGGATTGCGAGCGGTATGCGCAAGTATAACGAGTGATGGAGTATGACAGTGAATGAATGGTAATATTTCGCAATGCAACTAAGAACTACGAGAATATTCTGGGTAATCCACAGAGTCAGGAAACAGCTCCTAACTACTGGATGATGATTGCTACGGGTCACTACAGAGTATTTAAGTAAGTATGTATAATTCTGGAATACTACAGGCGAAGATAGTAGCGATATATCTTGGGTCCGATGTCCTATGTAATAAGACACAAGGTGCTGCGGACATGTAATAACGCGGTACGAATGTCAGAAAACATGCACGGGAATAACTACACACCTAGTGAGGCTAGTTCGGATGGACAAGTGTGCGCAAAGTGCAATCAGCCGATGCGATGTCCAAAGGTCCGATGCGGAGTGGCTCGGACATGTGCGAAAGTGTGTTGGACATGTGCGTGTATGTTTCGGATGTTCACATGAGTATGAAAAACTGTGGTTCCGAGCCCAGTGCCGCGACCATCGCTACAGTGTATACAATTGAGCTCCTCTAGGAGCGCAGTTCATGGATCAGTTGGTTCTTCTTCATCACATGCAGTACCCTCTTCTTCGCCCCCCTCATCCTCAGTTTCAGTACCAGGATCAACGACATGACTCTTTAGCATCGTGGCAATTTCAAAGCGCCATAGCTTCTCCAATCGATCCAAGTGATGACAGATTTGCGGATCGTAATCGTTATTGTTGGTATGTCGTGTGGGATCCTTGATTTCAGATATGTGAGCGTGTTTGGTGGCATCCGCAGACCATTGAATGAGAGCACCGACTTTACGCATACTAGCAGTAATGCTCTGCATTAGCTCCAGCTTAGGTATGAACCAGTTGTCAATTGGTTTCTTAGTACCCATCCATGCGCCCAATTGACATGATGACATCTTTATTCTGATGATATATCAAGAGCGATTGGTCGATAGATGTCAGTAGGTCATCATCAGGAGAAGGGGATTGCGCCATGTATTGGACATCCATAAGGGCACAGATCGCGGTTACAAAATGACGAGGGGCTGTACCAGCAATTAAACCAATGATGTAGCACTGAACATCACAGTGAACTCTCGCTGTGACTTGCTTGAGCTTTAAGATTCCACAAGAGAAGTGGCGGTAGCCTGTGATGGGCTGCAAAATCGAGAATCTAAAATCAAGTTCCAGCGCTCCAACAGCTACAAGACACCAGTGAAGGTTGTGATCCCAAAATTTATTATGCCAGTGGTGCAGAGATTCCAGTGTCAGAAAGACTGAGGGATCAGCATACAGCCAGTACATCCAGAAAGGTGTATGAACACCATTTAGCCAGTATTCAGTGCATGCTTCAAAAAAAGCTTTGAGTTTATTGGGGTCGGCCTTGATGTTCACAAGCTGTTCAAGTGTGACAGAGCGAGTGCATTCGGGATGACAAAAATCATCCCCGAACTTGAGATATGATGCCATGGTGAATGGAGAAGTTTTGCCATGTAAGCATGCATGCCTCAGGGGTGTCGACAATGTAGGCTGCAAGAGGCATGTAACAATGACAAATGTTGCCCACCGGATCTGACATCATGATCCCAATCTCGGCTGCTATCATCAACGGTTTCAAGACAATGACAAGACACTCGTGTATGAGGCGGTCTTCGAGCATGCCTCGCATCTGTTGATTTGGGTGCAAATACTGTGGGATAGGGAGGAGAGCTGTAAGTAGGAATGCCCCAGATGAGAGTTTGGTGCGAGTGCACATGCGGATATTCGCAAGGCCTAGAAGAAGTGGATGAGCGACCCTGGCACCGGTCATAGTGGTGATGTTTGTTTTGTCGGAAGATAGTACAGTCCCAAGGATTGTAGCACCTCTAGGTAGTTGGTTCTGCAGAGCCTATGGTGAGATGATGCAAATTTTGGAGACCCAGATGCATGTACCTGGATATCCCAAGCAAAATCACCCATCAGCCACTCCAAATATACGTGCAGAACCTGCGCTGCAGTAGTGTACACACGACGAGGGACAAAGTCGAGCTTGTCATGGAAGAGGGGGTTGCTGAACAGACTCTCTAAGCATTCAACAGGATCCCTCTAGAATAGTTGGATCGGGTGTTTCGTGCTATGGGGCGAGGTAATGAGCTGACATTTCCAGCTTGGTCCCTTGGGGAGCATCTTGGCACGGCTTCGTAATTCTTTAGCATTGTTGAAAGATAGTTTGAGTTCGCGAATCTGCAAGGGCAATCGTCAATAAGAGGGCGAGGAGAAGGAAAAGTGCAAGTGCAAAAGATTACATACCATCGAGAGTGCCAAAAATTCATTGATTGCCGCCATACTGAGGGAGGACTGAAGAAGAAAATCGGTGACTTCCCACTCATTCCTCAATGCAAAAGGATAAAAAATATTATCTTTCCTACAGTCTGCATACTCATCAGCGTTGAATATGTCCAAGAAGGTTGTGCCGTCCTGAGAGTAACAAGTCCCTGCACCCTCGTACCATTCCTCTGCACTTGATGGTTCCTCTCCTGCTGTGTCGAAGTGGTCTCCCCCAATGCCAAAATCCATTCCATCTCCAGGATCAGGGTCATATGAAACCCTGTCATGATCCAAAGGAAACTGAGAAGAGAGAGGATCAAGGGATCGCCGACATGGTTCAACCAACTCTGCAAACTGCAAAATGTCGACCATATTGCGAATAGAGCTATGGCATGAGGTTTGGGGCTGGCTAAGGTGGCAAGCTACACTGGACTCCTTCATGAATATTTTGCCACATTTTGGACATGATGGTATTGACATAAGGTATGCGAGATTCACATGCTTCCAACTTAACATTCATCATCATATGGAGCCTCTAGCCCTGTCTCCTTCTCATTATTCTACACCCTCTCATCATTCCAGAAACTCTTCTTGTTCGAGTTCTCACCATTCCACACCTTGTTCTTGATCCTTGCACTCGTTATATTCCAACTTGAATCATTTTCCAAGTTATCACTACTCACTAACACACCGCTGCACCTGTACTCACAATCAACGACCTCCGAATCATTCACCATCTCGATCGGCATGCTTAATCAAAGAGGAGGATGGTTTTCCAGGAGGAGTGCAGCTTGTGAGTTAATCTGTGCTCTAATTTCCTCTGCACTTTCTTATCTGCCATTGTCAGGAGTTTGATTCAAGTTGTGCCTCATTTTACCAAGCTGACAAAGAGGATGACCACTCCGACCTGGCCCTTGAGGCAGCTAAATCAAGATGCAAAGTGTGCCAGGCTCAAAAAGCCCTGGCGGATTGCACCTTGGAGCATCATATGGTACTTGTGGACCTCTACCACTGTCGCGTTGAAGCTGCAAATATGCATCTATTAACGGCCGACCTCAACATAGGGTGTATGCATATTGAGAGGAAAAAAAGTGGTATTCCAACATTTGTGGGTTCAAGTCCTTGATGTGGTACAGCCTGAGTGCGCTGTAAGTTAGGTTCAGTCATACTACTATCATACTATTGTTAACAAATATTGATCCATATTTCACATGTGATATAACCAGTAGTACTTGATTTATGCACTACATACTAGTATATACTATTTTGATTTACTCCTCCTGCACACTATTGTTTCAATGTTTACCAGCGCTGTCCTTGTGATGCTTGTGATGTCTGTGATGTCTGTGAGACCTTGTGTGGATCTTAGGGTTGACGCTCTGACGTGCGAGATGGGAGAGAAAATATTTCATAGGTCAATATATTTGTTCTGGGGAGACTACGAAGGGTGAAGACTGGATACTAAGTGAGTGGGCGAATGCACGCAGCGCTTCTGGCCCCGATCAAAGATCTGCCTAGGAGAAAACAGGTGAGCTGCGAGGGTGGGCAGCCAGCCTCGCATGTGGTGTTAGTCTCAAAGAGATGTATCAATCCGGACCACGAGAGCAGTGGTACTATGTGTGATGCGAGGCGCACCGTTGCACAATGGAAACAGGGTGCTCAGGTGCCAAGGGAGTGGTGGGTGGGGAAAAGAAAACTCACTAGGATTAGATACTGTGAGCTACTAGATGGAGGAGCGGAAACAAGAGACGTTACCGGTGTCTTCCGCTCTCCTGAAGACCTTACTCTAATCCTTCACTCGTGCCTCGCTATGGAATAGAGCGGCAATCTGTGTGCGCTTGTGACTCGTGTGAAACCTGTCACCAAATTAGTAGTTTGCTGATGGAGTATCTATGAGATCATGGCGAGACCAGGAACCAAGGCATAAGAAAGCGCGAATGGAAGCTGGAGACAACCGGTTGTGTGTGGAGCAAGACAGTTTTCGCTCTCTTCAAAGGACGGGTAAGCACATCCGCACTCTTCAGTCTCTTCTTAACTGCCTGGCTGACAGCATCAGGAAATTCTCACATTACTTTATTTGTCCTTAAACAGACTTAATACACTTAAGTGTCTTGTTGAAAGGTGGATCTACTTGTCCAACATTTCAACTTGAATATATTCAGAAAGGAAATGTTGAGGTATATCGATATATATGTTTTATTATGCTTCACACTAGAGAAATATGAAATATGCCAGGTAAATAATGTGAGAGAGAGCAAACAAGTTTTGAGATAAGTAGGTTAAGCTGATTAAGGAGATTAAGGAATGTGAGAATTTCCTGATGCAGACTTCACAGACGATGCTATGGAAGACGAGTTTGACGAGTTTGATTGGATGGAAGACTCATCAGCCTTTTTTGAGTGTCGCATGAGAGGAATGTGAGTAGTATTCTGCATTTTGTCACAACCTATTGGCCATTTAACTCATACAGAACCTGGGTACCACAACTTATTGCTTCTGTCCAAGATCATTTCACTGGCGAATCAGCATAGCCGGTGCCGTCGATTATCACTCTAATTTATTATTGCTACTCGATGAACCTGCGGTCGAAGTTCACATGGTGACAGCTCAACACCCTCGGACAAGTCGGGGATCCACACCCGTCCAACGCCGTAAACCGCGATGGGTATGCACGAGGGATGTTCAATTCTAAAATGTCGTCGTCAATGTCAACTTGACCTTACGGCTGTCCTCTCGTAAATACTTACGTGGACCCTGAACCTTTCCTGATTTAGTCGTCAAACCTTGCGTCTACTGCACTCTACATCCTTCCTTGCAATTGCTATTAGAGCCCAATTTAACTACTCAAAGCTTTTCATGTTTATTGCGAAATCTACTTTTCACAGAGTATCCTCGTCCTAATCCTATTCCCAGTAAACCATTCTATGTAGTATTGCTCAATAATGTTTAAATCTTTCCCCAAATCAATGATTCAAAAGTATCATGAATAAATGTTTAGGAAAATTACTACTCGTACATGTGAATGTTCAGGTAGCTAACCTAGGCTCTATACAGCGAGGATTGGGACGAGGATACTCTGGGATAAGGTGTAGAATGCCTCCCATGCGAAGGTTTAACCGACACGGTAGCGGCTAAATCAGGAAAGGTTCAGGGTCTGCGCAAGTAGTTTACGAGAGGACGGCCGTAAGGTCAAGTCGACATTGACAATGACATTTTAGAATTGAACATCCCTACGGTGTACGCGCGGGTCTCCATAATCCACACCGTACCCGTACCCGCCACACCCGTGAGCGAAAAACCGCGGGTTTACCCGTACCCGTGCTCTTCCCTACTACTAAGTCTCATCTCTCATCGTGTTACTACCTACTAACACGTCTCGTATCTATTTATTTTCGCTCGCAGTTCCCCATCGAACTCATACTCAGCCTTACAACTCTGAGATCACTAATCACTCGCGCGTCAGTGCCGATGACTATACTGCACCGATGTGAAAGCAGAAACACGACTCACTATGCAGAAAAGGTTGGCGAACTGCCATGCAGGTGAGTCGTACTATCAGGTCCAGGAAAATTACCGATACTCACGCAGAGGCCAAACCAACAGCCAGTCTTTTTGCAAACGTCATCACTTTCACAAAAGTTCTAGCAAGTAACAAGCTCGTCGGGCTGATGGAGCGACGTGGTAGTTACTGATGATGAGGCTATAGTAGCAACAGCGGCGAGGACGAGTGCAGATGATAAACGCATTGTTTGTTGTGATATGGAATCAGATCTAATCACATGCAGGAAGACGGCTGGCTTTTATGTGCTGGACATCTAGGCTCGTGACCAGCCTGGCGTATGGATGAACGAGTGGAGAAATTCTCACCATCTCAAATTGACGCATAGTCAGAATGGTTACGACTGGACATCGTCATTTGAAAATCTTCTTGCGTGGTCGTGCCTTCGAATGAATAGCACATCTCCAATGCCAGCAGATCGCCACCCAAGCAGCAATTTCAAGTTGGTGTGGGACTAATGAATGTCTACTGAGGATTCGCGTTTCCAAACAGGCAAAGGGTTAAAAGCACTGAACAGGTGACCTACACGGCGTGACGCTGTGCAGATAAGTGTGTAAGCATCTGCCGAGCGATGCCGGGATAACCGCTGAAGGAATTGCCTGGACCATTGAAAAAAATCGTGTGTAACCAAGAGTCCAAGTCCACATCTGTTAGAATGATCGTGTCACAAGGTGCTAATTATGCAAGGCTCATCATGGCCGCACGACCGTTCCAGCTCTATGTCCTGTGCGTGTTTATTTACGGCGATAAATTCTCCCTTGGTTGTTAGCGGTCATCATTTCAGATGATTACGGCATCCTCCAAAATCTTGATAAAGTAATCCTTCAGCTCACAACCCATACTATCATGATGACTACCTATGAAATCGGACACGATGGGTCGGCTCGCTTCCTTGAAAGACATTCGTATATGGTCTTTGCTAAGTCGCGGTACAGCTACGTGGCGAGCCGTATTGGCTGAGAACAAGCCAAAGAAAGAGGTTATCTTGAAAACTTTATGGAGATCGCAAACTCAGGAATGTGAATTCAACGTCAACGGGCACATCAAGTCACATTTTCCAGGCGTCGCTGAACTCAGTCTTGGGGATGATTTCTATAGTCCTTAGGAAGGAAGACCCACGCTTGTGTTACGGCTGGCATCTTGCGCTCTCTTATTCTCGATGATAACGCTGGTGTTCCCTATGATGCCACCCTCCATCGTCTCGTGCTGCAAACTGCGGAAAGCCCTTTGTGGGATGCCGACACAACGAAAGATTTCATTCTAGTCTCTCGCTGCACTCAAAGGTTCGGCATCAGTCAGTTAGCGCTGATCACCTTCCTGAATCGTCCCATTTTCAGGACATCAAAGACTCGTGGAGCAAGGCATTCTTCATCGAGACCTGAGTCCGGGCAATATCTTTGTCGGCGGTGGTCCGGATTGTGCTGAAGGCTGGGAGGGGTTTGTTGCAGATCTCGACCTTGCCTCGGTGGCACAGCCAGATACCGAAACCGTAGTCTCATCGCATCCGCTCTCCCCCGCCGCAGGCCAGTTGAACACTAGAAGTGTCTTTCTGGAGGAAACCGTTCCTGGTGCAGAGATCACAGTACGTATTATTTGCAACTTACCTCTTCCACTAAATGTTATCCTCAGGGTATTGCTTTAATGGCTGAAGAGTTTCTATCCACGATGTTTCTCCCGGACGAAGAGAACATTCGACCAGCTCAAATTAAACGCGAAGTGCACCATGACCTGGAGTGATTCATTCTTGTTCTTTTATACTCGGTCATGAAACGTGGTCTGGAGCGCCGACTCTGGCGCAAGAATCCAGACGAAGAATCTCAGATCCAAAACCTTTACCGTACTTTGTTTTTTGGCGGCCATACCATCCAGCTAATTCGACAAGGACGATCCTGCTTTCTCGGTAAAAGCAACCCCCCTGTGTATCTTCTACATGTCCTGGACTTACCAACGGCACGACTAATTTATGGCTGTTGGAAGCTTTTGAACATCCAGAGGTCCAACAGCTTTCCTATCGATGAAAGTGTTAGAGCGGAACTTGATCAGAAGATGCAATGGGAGAGTGACTTGGAGGAACGGAATGTGATCACTTATGATAAGTTGTATATCATCTACGACGTAGCGATCAGCGGGCTCTCAGGAGTTGAATAGGATGATCATCGATGGATCGTGTACTTTTATTTTATCGTCAAAGAATAGAGATCTTGTACATCCTTGTGCTAGTATTGTGCAATGAGGATGCGTGAACTTCTGATCAGAAGTTCCTTTGCCGAATGTTTGCGTTTGTCCTATCTCGTATGATGTGTGATTGGATTCTAGATGCGACAGTTTTGACAACGAGTTTGGTTAACTTTAGGTTTGCTTTAGGTTATCCGCTGCCGTGAAACTCGAATTCCCGGACTCGACTACATACGACTCTAAGACTTTCTGCTTGTTAGGACACCTTTGAGTTCGCTGGAGTTTGTTGAAAACGGAAGACACCTCGCGCGACACCAGCGAACAGGCAGCCTATCAACCATGGTGTTACAATTATAACATTGCATCGAGCATTATGTACACCCAGTGCAGCTATAGTAATAGTATGCATGTTATGTTAAGGGCCATGGCTAAGCATGGACACAACCCGTTCCAGACGGGCACCTAAAAATACAACCAGATAAGGTATCCACAAAGCAGAACGGACATGCAGAGAGTGGCTCGCTCCAAAGGAGCCGAAATGAGAGTGAACGTGAGCGAACGACTTGAAAAAAAAAAAAGAACGTGTATGTACGTGGATAACCGAATCAATGATATCGTGAGGGCACGCAGTACCACGAGGTGTCAAACCTTGTTACATGATAATCACGAGGGAGGGGAACGTCAAGCATCGCCGCATTTAGTGCGAACGGACGAGTCTCCATTTGTGCATCCGTTTGTTCCTGCTGTCTCGCTTGACAACACCCTCATTGATGGAACGTCCACTAAGCATGCACTGCCCTGTCACCGTTGGACTTGGGGTGGATGACACAACGATAGTGGAAGAAGGGCCATTGGCGAAGGTTGATGTAGTCCTTGCTGAGGAACCCGAGACAGAGCCGGTGGAAGAAGGCGCAGCAGAACTTGAGCCGCCGTCTATGAAGCTGGCGACAGGAGGGCCGGGGAACGTGTACTGAATGGGTGGGTTGTAGATCTGTGCGGCCGATCAGTGCTATGTTTAAACAAAATTAAACAACAAATGACTCACGTCTGGTGTTAGGATACCAGGATCACTATCAGAGTAACAACCAGGGAATAAGCACTCCTCGCTCGACGTGGGGCCCTGAGTCTGGGAACCACCGATTTGAAGTTGGATGCACGCGGGGTAAAACTCAGCGCCTCCTGCCGACATCGCAAGTTGAAGGGAGATGATTTCCGTGCGAAGCAAGTAATTTCCGGGTGCGAGAGTGCTCGGAATCGTCACGTTCACGGGAGCTCGAGAATCTGCAGAACACATGAGAGCAAGTAAAGCAAAGTATGAACATAACTAACTCAGGTTTGCCTGATACCAGGTACTGCCATCTGCCTGGAGACCGAGTTCCGAGATTTTGAACCACTCGGAGTTCGTCGAGTTATATGTCGAGCAAGAACCGTCGCACTTGGTCATGTAGTGCATCAGTGGGCCTGTGTTATGCGGCCACTGCAGATTGATGGTCATTTGCAAATCTAAGGCATTGTTTGATGTCACGTACGTTGGATGAACCGTCTGTGCCACCAACCCATAAAATCTCGAGCTGGGAACCAGGGTTTGCATTTCCGACCAGGGAAGCGAACTGAGCATCTTGTCCACAGTTAATGTACGGGTTTGCAGCACCCTTAACAGGACTATTCGTGTTGACAAGACGGATGATAGAAGGGGCAGGGGTTCCAACATTCAAGTTATTGCCCTTGTAGACGGTGCCGTCGATTGTCACCTGCTGGACATAACCATGAGCTGAGACGAGAGTGGAGATGGCGAGGGCAGGGAGGAGTTGGGCAAGTCTTCGAAGCATCATGGAAGAGCGAAGCATAGAGGGGGTCCAGCCGGGAACAGAGAAGATATGCTAGGGACGACGAGGAGAGAAGAAAAGATAGACGTTTACGATAAACAAACTCGCTCAGCGAGAGTTCAAATAAGAATTTGATTGAATAGACCAAAAGAGGCGATTGCCACAAGCGTTGTACACAGACAATAGAGCTTTCCGTATCACAGACCACTGGCGAGGGACTATGAGAAAATGCATTGCAAGAGTCTTTTTATAGCCTTGTTGCATAGGCTGAATTAGAACAATGATGGAACAAAATGTACGATAGCTTACCATTGTGCGTCCAATTCATTATGTTTGTGCCTTCTACGTGTTACTCGCTTCCGCCTCATCAATCAAAGCACATACCACATGCTGCAGGTGGAGCATACGCGTTACACAAGTTCCGTTGTCGGATCAAGTCGTGCTTCTCAGCGCTTGGTTGGTGTGGTTTAGTCGTGGCGTTGACCTCCTCCAGCTACCAGGGTATCTATCACATGAGCAAACTTTGATCGGAATAGAAATAAACGGAGCTGTGAAGCAAATCCATTAGGAAGAGGTTGTATATTCGAGTCCATTGATGTCGATGTTGTTGTACTTTGGGTCGAGTCTTTCAGCAGCGAAGATCGATCGACGGGCATCATGGTGGGTGTACCGTGTGACAATACAATAATTTATAACAATTTCTCACGCTCACTACATAATGGAACTCCAAGCTCTCATCCGGCATTTCGAGGTTCCCCAAACGTTCCTACATGCTGGTCCAATGCTGGTCCATTCGGAGGTACAGGAGTGGTGCAGGCTAGCGCACGTTGCAGGTAAAAATGGCCTTACGGGAACGTTTGCAACAAACGTGGGCAGGTGGGATCGTCTTCCAGCCGCCTGTAAGAAAGATACGCGGTGCAGTTGCGCACCTCAAAAGTGCCTATAGTACTTGTCACTGCACGTTTTACACGATACTTTGGCGATGGTCGAACATGCTGGTGTCGCTGGTATAATGGTATCTTGATAATCATGTGTTCCACAGCATAAATCGTTTCTAGATCGAAGAATGACCAACGAATTGTTCAGAGCCGCGGGCCATTTTCATCGATCACCATGCCATACCCATACCCATACCCGTCTTGTTCTGTATTCACCAACAAGCGGACTTCGTTGGAAGACATGCCCACTAGGAATGTCGATTATTAAGGTATCGATCCATCATCACCGTGACGGTCTTGTAATTCAAAGACACTATCATATAGTTGTGTCGGCAGCACTTGCAGCTCGACTAGGATGCATGCTTGGCATTGCCTTCAAACAGTTTATTTTGTATGCTATGTTGAGCTTGCACGTTAGATGCTCCTTCAAACTGAGCAGTGAGCAGTGTATAAACGCATCTAATGACGTAAGCCAGATTTGTTGCCGCGACATCATCTTATACGACACTCCGCCTCGATTGTTGGAATGACCAACGTGTTCTTGCTGTAAAGAGGGAGCGCAGGACACTTCGATTCGAGGTGCTCTTGACCTATGATTGATCAAGTTCTGGCACGTTGATGGTCGATACTGATCTCGTTTCCTGAAAGATCTGAATTGAACCGGAGAAGCTGATGATTCGTATCCAAGGTCTTGTCGAGCAAGGACCAACTCGACACTCAGACGAAGCGGTATGAACGACTGTGTGGCTTGTCAAGTGAGCGAGTCATAGACAATGAAAAGCTGAATAGTTCAGCTAATAAAATGCGCGTGTTTTAGTTGACATGCATTAGATTTATAGCCGGCCCCTGCAGTTCCCGTTTCACGAAGACTAAAAAGTACGTTCATATGTTATTCACTTGGCATATCAACTCCATAACGCCTGTGTCTATTTCTCAAATAGTAGCGTCCTATGTCTTGTTTTGTCAACAACAGCACCAAAACGAAAGCAGAAACAGGACTTACCAACGTGTCGCTATGTGCAAGGTATTCTGTTCTCTTACTGGGACGATCATAGCGGCCTTTATTACCGTTCATTGCATATTACGAGGCACAAAAGATGGGTCATCGGGTGAAAACTGAATACAAAGTCATCTGTCTCTACTCACAAGTGTCGCAGTCCAATGTACTACATCAGTAGCGATTGCATACATGCGCTGGCGGACATAGATGCTGACAACGCTATAATATCAGCGAGGAAGAAGAAACGTTTGTGCGAGGTAGTATGATTTCCCGAGATGTTCGATTTGGATGGTACGAAATGGCTTACTTTCATATCATCGTGCTGGCTGTTGTAGAGAAGAATCAGTTAGGCAGGATGTTCATGCCTGGCGGATGATACTGCATGACGCGAGTTTAGGCAGAATATATGTATCGCCTCCGGTCATTTCGCGATGAGTTAAGTTAATGACTTCTGGTCCGAAGTACGCACCTGCTTCACTCATTTATGTTTTTTGTAAAGCTGGAAAGTGAGAAAGCGGCGAGTTAAGCAAAATGTAGTGAGTTCGACGGGGAATCATTCGGACCATGAGAGAATGAGTGAGGGGGAGTTTATTCACTGCAGCTATATAAAGTAAGGACTGACTATTTGTATGTAAGTGAGTACAAAGGGAAATCCATAGCCAGTGTCCATGGCTAGCGGAGTGATATTCCTTACAAAAATGTAACTCGATTGATATTATTTGGGAAGGTTTCACGTTCAGGGTGCTTATCCTGCTGAATTTGACTGCGAAGGTGCCTTCGATGAATGCCATAATTTCATTACCTAATTATTCCTTTCATTTTCTACTGCCAGCCAACGCGGAAACAAGGCCGTAGTGTCGCTCCAATGACAACGTTGCACTTCTTGGATTGGTGGTGAGAATGTCGAACTAACTCCTCTAGAGTAAGAGCTTATTCGATATGAAAGTAGTTGCAACGTGCTTTGCAGTCCTTCGTGTTTTGATGACATGGGATTATTTGATTCTAAGTAGTTGTGTTTGCATTTTGGTGGTGCGTGCGCACCTGGTCCATAGGTAAGTTAAGTTGTATATGCGAACCAGTGATTATGTCACGTATCGTCCGTGCCTGTGTGTCGTCTGCGATCTGTGTGCGCGAAATAGTTGAACAGATCCAGCGTCATACGTTCTGCCTGAACATTGCTGCCCAGAATCACGACGTCACACGCAAGGGATGCCGTTCTGCGAAGTCTACTACACTGAGAGTCGATTTTTGTGGTAGTATAAAAGCAAGTCACCTTCCTACCGTCCAACCCATCTCAAAGAGACTATCTGAGCATTGAGAAGTTCATACCATCACAAGATAAACAATGCGTTTCCCCTTTCTCATCGTCATTGTTACTTCGGCGGCATCTGTCATGTCTGTCAGTGCATGCCAATATCCGTGGATGAATTGCACAAATTCCCATCAGTGCTGTGATGGCTTAACATGCAAGACTGTGAGAATAATTGGCTTTACATTGAATTTTCACCTGATCGCTCAGCTACTTTGCGCCCCGAAATATCAGGAGTACGGTTACTCCAAATGCGACTACTAGTATCGCAAGACACTGGTAAGTCAAGCGCCTACTGTGTGCTGGGCATGTGCGCTAAGTACTGATGGCTGTTGGGTACAGGTACGGGTTTACCCGTGCGGATCCCTACCGAAATATACGCACACCAATTTGTCGCAATGTTGTACCAAGAAGTGTAGCATGCTGTCGCTGAATTGGATCACGTTTTTTCGCACAGTCGGAGCTTTGATGCCGACGCCGATGCGGAGCTTGAACGTTAACGTTTGGACAATGGAATACCAACTATCATATGACTGGGCTTTCTTAGATATTTTCTTTTCTCAGTCTGTCATCTGGGTCTGAGGTCTGATTATAGTGCCAGTGTTTAGATTTTACATGCGCCGATTTACTGATACTGCCCTGTATAGGGCTATGTAACTTGAGTGTCCTATTAGGAGCCACAGCTCAAAGCATTATGAAATGAGTGGAATAAATGAAGCAGAGGTTCTGCTTAACAACTACATCCCAGGATCACACGCAAGAACATTGCAACCTGTTCTGAGAGGTCGACAGTATTAATAATTAACTATTGCGACAGTATAAAAGCAAGTCGTTTTTCTACCATCCACCCCATCTCAAAGAGACACCAGTTCATACCACCTCACACAAACAATGCATTTCTCCTTCCTCGCCGTCATCGTTGCTTTTGCGGCATCTATCATGTCCGTCAGTGCATGTTCTGGACTGTACGGAGGGTGCAAAACAGCCAACGACTGCTGTCCAAACCAGTCTTTGTACTGCAATGGGAACAGTTGCCGCAAGATAATCCCACCGGTGAGTCAAGTGTCTACTGTCACATTGGTGCCGTCGTTAATCGAGCGACGCGTAGGCCGGTGCTGAGTGAGAAATGGTTAGAGTCAATATCGAGTTGAAGAAGATATGTCGGATGAATGAAGCGTTTACGTACTTTGTACTCTTGGTGTGAATAGAGCCCCTTGAGTCGGTCATAAATCAAATCTGTGTCGGCTAAAAATCATTGTTGATCAGTCGCTTGATTGATAAGGCAAGTAGTCGTTCGTACCGTTGGAGTTTAAATGTTGATGCGAAGGTGGAGATTGAAATACCAACCATCGACTTTTGAGTCTGCTTTCCATAGCGCTGGAACACCAGCGAGATCGATATCCGATCATGTATGATCTCACATCCCATAATTGTGAGAATGTGGGTTATATTTTATTCATGTCTATATTGGCTCTACTTATTTCTTGATCAGCAGCATCCTATATATCGTTCGATCAATAACATCACCGATGCAAAAGCAGAACCACAACTCGCTGATGCGAAAGTGAACACTCGACTCACTAGGTTGAGCAGACTCTGTTAGAGCTCCTGACTGACCGACATTTGGCACACGGGCATGCCTTGCGTGTGATCCTGGGTTAGGCAGAACCGTCCCCACCATAATCGCTGAGTTAGTGATCCTTGACTCATTTACTTATAAAACTCGACAAGAAAAAGCACGCACCCAGGTCCTGCTGTCAGCATATTTGCGCCACGCAGCCTCTCTTGCCATCTAGCACTTCGAGCTCGAGAGCTCCCCTCGGCCATAGGGGCTGTTTTCAAGAACGTTGGTAGCGCGCCCAGTCCCTAGGTAAGGTGTGTATGCGAACGAGTGATGGTGTGTGTGTATAGTCCGTGTCTGCGTGCGCAAAATCGTTGAACAGATCCAGCGTCATACGTTCTGCCTAAACAACGCTGCCCAGAATCACGCCGCTCCACGTAAGGCACGCCTGTTCTGTCAAGTCTACAATACTGAGAATCAATTGTTGTGGTAGTATAAAAGCAAGTCATCTTCCTACCGTTCAACCCATCTCAAAGAGCTCTCAGCTGTTCATACCATCACAAACTAAACAACGCGTTTCTCTTTTCTCACCGTCATTGTTACTTCGGCGGCATCTATTACCAAACATCATTGACACCCGCGGTCCAGTAAACACTCCTCTTCAGGCGTAGACTCTTGCGATCTTGAACATCCTCCTTATGGTGGACATTCACCTAGCGGAGAATAAATTTTCTTTGCTACATGTGTCATTGCAGAAATCCGAATAAAAACATCTTGACACAGCAATATGTTCTTCGTGTATGAGGGTTCGCCTCATGTCATGCGAACCCTGCTTTTAGAAGCGTGCTCGCACTCGCTCAATTGCCGGACTTGTGGTGGCATGGGCTTGCCCACAAGCGGACTTCAGCCCCCACTAAGAGTGCTGCTTTTTCAATCAATCCTAAGTTACGTATCAAGCATGCTTTCAGCTAGAAAATAACAGAACTCACGAAGCATTGTATGCATCAGCATCATAGTGTTTGCGTAGGCGAGAAACGATTTCAGTGTTACTGTACCCATTCGCCACGAAATACTCAATAGTCGGCTTGATGAGATCATCAGGAGCTTGAATAAGCGAAGATCAGCCAGGAATGAACTACTAGCACAGACACACTACTTACGGGCAGGAACTCGACCGTTCTTTCCAATTGTATTTGGCATCTGTTGAAGTAATTCAGCAGGAAATGCAGATAGTTTGGGGCCATCCATTTAAACATCATCGCTAAAAACTTGTCCGCGGTTCGAGGAAGTCCTTGGTTACAGTATGAGACCTTATGGTCCTGGATCCTCTTCCTTCCGAGTCCAATAAACTGTCTCGAAGCATCCGTCCTCAGATCGTTGACTGTTCACACCGTCCGGTTCGGTTTCCTGCCATCTTAGTTAGTTAGAGGATGGTAGATGGTAAGTAGTGCAGAAAGTTGTGTCATCGTGACGGAAATGCCTGGGCACCACAACAGTTACTAGCCATGATAAATTTCACTTGATGTCGTTACTACTAATTCCTGACTGCTATGAAGTACCTGTGCAAACAGCGGCAGAACTAGTAATGTTGGCATCGAGCGGCTGAAGTTGAACCAGGAGTAGAATTACAACAGTAAATACAACGGACTTTGAAAATGTACACGGCAGTGCGGCAAATCGTTTCAACTGTCATCAAACCCCAGGACGATGCATCGACGATGGTGGATGAGATGAGGCATTATCGTTACTAAAGATTTCGTACAAATCTTCCACCCGGCAAGACAACCAGTTTCGCCAGTTCTGCCGGTTGCAACCGGGAAAACTGACCCTAATTACTTTTCCCCCACACTAATTGCAGCGTGTTCTGACGGGTCCACGGCATTAACAATCAACTGTCGCGAAGGTATAAAAGCAAGTCATATTCCTACCATCAACACCATCTCAGAGATAGCAGTTCATACCACCTCACACAAACAATGAATTTCTCCTTCCTCGCCGTCATCGTTGCTTTGGCGGTATCTATCATGTCGGTCAGTGGATGCCAAACGAAGGATGGAGTTTGCCAAAAAGGCACGGACTGCTGTCCATACCAATCATTGTACTGCGATGGCGAATTTTGCCGGAAGATAAATGCACCCGGGCTGGTGAGTCAAGTGTTTACTGTCACATGAGTGTCGTCGTTGATCGAACGACGCGTAGGCTGCTGAGTGAGAAATGAATAGAGTCGATATCGAGTTGGAGAAGATATGTCGAATGATGAAGCGTTTGCGTACTTTGTACTCTTGGTGTTAGCAGAGCCCCACGAGTCGGTCATAAATCAAATCCATGTCGGCTAGAAATCATGCGTTTTGCATGGTTGACTAGTCGCTTGATTGATAAGGTATGCAGTCGTGTGTATCGTTTTTTGTCTGGCTTGTCCTGTCCAGTGAATGAAGTATAACCTACAGTCACATTGTCACCATTATTGTGAATCATGAGTTCATACATGGCCCGATATCAGTCTTGTTGGTGCATCAGCATACTGTCATTGGAAAATTCATCATACGAGTTTGTCGCGCCGTTGGAGTTTAAATACTGACGCGAATGTGGAGATTCTAGAATATTAACCATCGAATTTTGAGTCTGTTTTCCATGACGCTGGAACATCAGCGAGATCGATATCCGTTCACGTATGATCTTACGTCCCATAATTGTGGGTTATATTCCATTCATGTCTACTTGAACTCGATATTGGTTCTGTCCATTTCTTGATCAGCGGCATCCTATGTATCGTTCGATTAATGCAAAATTAGACACTCAACTCACTAGGTTGAACAGACTCTGTTAGAGTCCCCGACTGACAGACATTTGGCACACGCCTTGCGTGTGATCCTGGATTCGGCAGAACCTGTCCCCTGCTTAATCGCTGAGTTGGTGATACTTGACTCATTTACTTGCAAAACTCGACAAGGATAGGTACGCACCTAGGTCCTGCTGTCAGGGTATTTGTGACACGCAGCCTTTCTTTTTCCATGCAGCACGTCGAGCTTGAGAGCTGTGCGACGATGAGTTTAGGCAGAACAGATGCCACGTACATCATTGCCCGTGTGGAAACAGAAGCGCTTCTGCTAATCTTACTTTGCGCGGACCTCTGACTGTATTTTGTAGTGTTTGGTTCGCCACCGGCAACGACCGATGAATGGTTCTAACTTGGTTTTCCGACCAATTTGAAGTTAGGACTTCTAATTTATTGGACGCGATTGTCTGGAAGGCTGTGGGGTTAATATGTCCTTAATTCGTAGCTAATTTTCATGAATCGGACGTGACGTGCGTCAAGGTATCGAACTGGATGTATTTCTTTTCTTTTCCTCTACTTTCTCCTTGTGCATAACCGCTGACCCTGGCTGGTTTGATCCGCCGATGATACCAAGCCCGACTTTTGCAACGCTGCGGGCGTTGCATGCGCTCATGGGTGATGCTCTCGACGATATACAGCGCATTTTCTCAATGTCTTCCACTCCCCATTCCTCCCAATGTTCATCACCAGCATTTCCAGATTCCCCTGAGCCAGTCTCAGTCCCCGCCACACCCTTATCTTCTACCTTTAGCACCCAGACCTCTTCCTATGGCACTCCACTCTCACCATTGTCCAACCTTCAGTACGACTATCCTTCCCCATCTCTTCCATATACATCGTCATCACCAGCGGAGAAACTCGCTGCCTGCCCAGCCGCGAGTGCCGCAGCCACAAGGATTGTTGCTGCTGCTGCCCAAATTACAAGCATCGTACAGAAGCCGTTTCTGTTCATGTCCGACGCAAGCATGGTGGTAAGTTTGTCTGTTTTTCGTTATTTCTGTTACCATGACGCTTGCCACCTTCAGTACACCCTTCCAGCATGCTTGCGTCTTATCGAACATCTACACGTCGTCGAAATTCTTCGCGATGCAGAGGACGAACGCCAACGTCTCCTTTTTGAACTCCGTATTATTGCGGAGCTCCAGTCCCAGTGCGAGCCCGTCTTGGCCAACGGATCAAATGATCCAAATCATGGCCTCGTGTCACGCCCGAGCTTTACTCGGGGTACGTCACTTTCCTCCCTTCTTGCCGAGTGTACTGATCGCCGTCTTATAATTTTGTTTGCCCCTGTCATTTCCTATCCCTTCTCCCGCGCCTGTCATGCCAATCACGTGATAAAATTATCCAGACGCCCCGACAAAGGCGGAGGAAAAGGCACTCCATCTAGAGGGCGTACATGTCAAAGACATCTCACGCATCATAACAGAACGCACGGGCGGCCTTCGTTGTGTGGATTCTGTTCGTTTAGGTGGGTCTGTTTTCCTATCGTTCGATCTTAAGTTTGCTCTAGCTATTCGGATATTCCAAGCTTCTGAACTCTTTGTTACTTTAAATTCATGCCGTCCCTTTATGTCCCTTGCTGGTGAAGCAAATCGGCTAACAGCTCCTCGGCCTTAGCCCATCCCCTCCGTTTGCTTTCGACGCATCACATTCTACGTGAAACGGCTCCAGACACCTTCGCACTAACGCGCGTCGCAAGCCTGCTCGACAGCGGTAAGAGTGTGGCGGATGTCTTTGCAAAGTAAGTTGTCGATTTCTATTATATTCCCTCGTCCACACCACAAATTTACATCCATCAATAGTCCCGAGAAAAAATACGAAGACACTACTGGCATCGCCGCTTTCGTCGGAATGTGGTACGTTTTCTTCTGCACATCTGAACCTGTAAATTTCTAAAGTGAAGATACCTAGCACTGATGAGCTGTTCAAGTCAGCTGCCTACCTTACGGAGGCGTTTACAGGTGTTCAACTTCCTTTAGCCCCTCCAGGAAGCGTTCCCACAAGACCTACAGACGGCAGTGAAGTGCATATATCTGGCTTTGCGGCTAATGAGGCGCATATATGCAACCCTCTGATGCAGCCTTCACGCACCCAATCATTCACTAGCCTCCACTCAAAGCATCCCACTCCCACTTCGTCTGCGCAGACACATTCCGATCTCTTAGAAGCTGCGACCGTCACACCTGCGCTCAGTCCAGTGACAGAATCAACTATGTCCCCTTGTTTATGGGATGCAACCATGCCTGCGCCTATTGCTGGACCACCTTTGGACCTCGGACCTGGCTTTCTGTCTCCAAAACGCGAGACAACGCCCCACACAGAAGCCTCATCGGTGAGGACAGCTTTCAAACTCCCCCCGCCAGCCCCGCACCCTTCGCCACTGCACAACACGATCTACAGCAAAAGCAATGTTCCAGACACCCCTTCTGCGCTCCATGTCAAATGCGCATCTTTAGTGTCGACGCTTACACTTCCATCTACAAATTCGGCTGTTGTATCAGAAGAGATCCTACCGAGTAGTAATGTGGGCTCAGGTGCTGAATCGGATAGAAAGAACGCCGGGTCGGGACTTGATACTGAGCCCCTTCCAGCATTTAATCTCGCATTCAACACGCCTGTGCCATTTTTCGAGTGGTTGGAGGACGGAGGATTGGACACGCTTGGTGGCAACGGCGGTTGCGCAGGATGTCAGCCAACAAGGGCTGTTGGGAATATCGTGTCAGCTGAACGTGAGGGTACACAGACTCGCACTGGACATGTGAGGAATATGAGCACATCTTCTGAGCGGAGTGGTCGTGAACCGGGTAAGTCTTTCCGCCTTGAGCGGTTCTCGCAGGCGATGATTGGTACGAGTGGGTGGGAGGCACCTGGAGCTATTCTGACTGGTATGTCACTGATCATTTTGCCTGTATGTTTGTGCAGTTGCATAATTTTGATACTTGTGACTCCAGCTTTCGACTGGCTTTCCCTCCCACGAGGTTCGACGATAGTAGACGTCGGAGGAGGAATCGGGAGCACGACCATGATCCTTGCGCGGGCGTTTGGAGGGAGCCTAAAACCGCGGGGAAGCGTGAGCAGCGATGAAGCTGAAGATACCGTAGAAAACAACAACTTCATCCCTCAACAGTCTTGCAATGACTTGACTCCGCATAAATCCCGGAGCGATCTCAAGTCCTTTGCCTCACGAGTCGATCTCAAGTCACATACCTCTCGCGCTGATCTCAAGTCCACCAATCTCAAATCTGCACGTTCTCATGTGGATTTAAGGATTCAGTCTTCCCAAGGCGAGCTTAGTGCGCAACAATCAACGGTCCCTTCTTGTGAGGACCAGGATAGGCAGTTCTGCTTCATTGTCCAAGACCGTCCAGTTGTCATCGGACTCGGACTCGATGCATGGCGTGCGCAGTGTCCAGAAATGCTGGAGAGTGGACAGGTGACATTTTATGGTGAGCACTCTGCCCAGATGCTTGACGTGCCTTCTCACGATGCATTCGAAAGACCACAATTTCTTCCTCCCACAACCTCCGCTTCCCTCATCAAACCTCAATCGGCATCCTGCAGTCTACATACTCCGTGTTGTCCTGCATGACTGGCCTGACGCCCGTGCACGCCATGTGCTGCTCAACCTGCGGCTTGCAAGCAGTCCAGAGACGAGGCTTATCATTGCGGATCATGTCCTCCCATTAGCATGCGTCGATGAGGGCGTCCGTAGCGCAAAACACGAACACCAAAAATCCGAAGGCGAAAAGTGGACGCTCGATTCTGTTCTAGCGCACCTCGAGGGTGCGCATGGCACTCTAGCACCCGCGCCCCTGCTTCCCAACTTGGGAAAAGCAAGTGCAACCCCCTTTTCCATGGACATCGTGGTACGCACGGTGATAGATTATTGTCTTTGGAAACGTTTACTGACTGGGTCACGTAGATGCACATAACTTTCAATGGCAAGGAGCGCACGCTACGGGAGCTTTGTGCATTGGCTCTGTCATCTGGCTGGCGTATTGCACGTGTGACATACTCAAAAGGTTCCCATTTCGGGCATCTTGTTTGCGAGCCTGTAGACATACCCGAAGATGCATTTGATATCCTCCCTGGACGGCCAATCTCGGATCCTGTGGTAGATTTATTGTTTGAATGTGCTGAGCCCTCGGAAGACAACGAACATGAGGGCCCGCGGACTGCCCAGGAGATGTATGCAAATAAGCTGCCGTCATCACTTGGGTCGAGGCCTATCCCAGCGGCTATCTTACCACTTTTACCTTCTCCTATCCTCGAGCGCTCGTCATCGCGTTGTGGAACGCCGACGTTTGGATCTCGTGTGTCCCTTCCTCGTCCGGACGAGATACCATCTTCCAAGTTCAAATCCTACGGCCTTGGCAGACGATGGCTCAAGGCAAGAGGCCTTGGCGTCCGTACCGTGGTCGAGAAGCAAAAGCGTCGTGAAGAAGGCGCTCGAAAAACTGATGAACACGATGGCCAAAGCGGTCAACACGTATCTCCCCAGCACTCGCGCGTCTGGTGGAAAAGGGCGCCGCCCACTTCCCCTGTAGCAGAAGAGCGAGACGGTGATGCATCTATACCTCGCAGCCCACTTCGTCTTCGCAGAGGTACGATAACGACTCCAGAGCTTTCACCACCGTTGCCGTTGCCGAGCCCGCGCATTCCGACACAGTATAAATTTCCGGCGCATCGCACGACGCCTAGTATGCAGTCCAACTTCCAGAGCGACGGAGGTTCAAGTGCCCCGCGATCAAGGAGGCCGAGTGTAGCGAGTCTCACTCGCAAGCTCAACTTCTCCCCTTTCGCGCGGAGACCGAGCATAGTAGACGGTGTGGCACAAAGGAGCAGTGACACGAGCGCGAGTCCGCAGTCAGCAACGTTCGATACTGCATATGTCCGGTCCGCAAACCAGGAGAAGAAGCTGAGGCATCAGCCCAGTTCACCGATGGTGATGCAGAATTACCATTCTGATGGCGATCGCGAGCACAGCATCAGGCACCATCCTAGTGCACCTCACTTGAAGGATCGGTCAACTCGCGCTGAAGAGCCTCCGCCCTTGCCTACCACTTCTAAATTTATGCGGGATGATGCATCCTCCAGCACTCCTCACAAGTCTAGTCTGCTGAGCTCCCCGATCTTCAGTGGGAGCAAGTCTAGTCTGTCCACGACGACCTCGCGTCCACGGAGTCGTTCAATTCTGTCAAGTACTGCGTTGATACGCGCACCCAGCACGCCTGCAGATTCCACAAGCCCAAAATCAAAACGTCAGCCAAGTACACCAAAGCTTCCCCGGAGGCTCAGCATACCTATGCTCCGGCGCAATCGCAGTCAAATTCTGACTGCTGAGGAGGATACTTGAACCGTTTGGCGGAGGATTCGCGTTGAAGATGCGTTTGGAAACTTTTAACTTTTTCGTTCATAGTTCTTTTCTTGCCGTTGTGTTCTGCGCATATCACAGTGATTGCCCCTCTTTTCATGCATTTATGTAGACAACCTCGTTGCCATCATGCTTATTACTGTTTTATACCTCCCAAGGAGTAAATAATTAATGGTTTCGAGATCTTGCTGCTGTGGCACTCGCGATCGAGGTTTCGACCGATACTTGTAGATCGTACTAAGCGAATCCGTACCATTGTGACAAGAAGCATAGAAATTGCATATTGGATTGCATGTGTTTTCTTGTTCGAAAGCTCTAGCATAGTACAAGTTACTCTATTGCATGATACATAATCGGAAGTCCCCCATTCTTTGAGCCTTGTTTGGAAGTGCATAGATGTGTAAACATGGTATTCGGTCAGTATTATTACTTGCAGGAGTAATCGAATGTCGTTCCACAACGACAAACCATATGATTACACCCAGCGATCTTCTCTATCAGATGGGAGCATCCTGGGCATCTTGCCCAGCCTGATGCCTGAGCAATATCGAGAACTTGTTGCGTTGCAGCGTCAATAACGCAGTTATGATTCCCAACCCCTTCGTACTTTGTACGGCATTTTCCACACGTACGGGTGGAACAACTCGGGGCTGGACAATCGTACACTTTCCGTGACGACTTTTGGTGGAGCGCACCAAGAAAGCGATTGCAGGATGGCGAGGAGCAATACACCCGATGCATCGTTTTCTTTTCTCTTCCCTTGAGCCTAAAGTCTGCAATTAAAGCTTGACTGACGTAGCGCCGTACTTTTGTGAAGGGGATGTTTCTGTGACAGCATCGTGGTGGATACAGGGAGTCGTCACGGACTGAAGACTGGAAGAGGTGGGTGATGCAAGCAAGGTCGAAGACGTGCCCGCATGGAACTGGGATTGCAGCGCCATCTATGGGATCTCTGCATATGATACAAATTGCTCTGACACCTGTCAGTTACATTGCTTGTCCTCGTTCGCCTCAGGTAGACTCACGGTTCCTTCGAGGCAGCATCGACCTTCTTGATCGATTGTCTTGGCATGTTGTGTTTTTTCCAAGTGATGGAAGCCTGGGCAGGTCGCCAAAGGATGTTTAGTAGCCAGAGGAGACTCTTCCTATATGCAGGATCGACAAAGTGTCACTGCGGTAGGAGAAAGAGCCAACGAGAAGGAATGCTCAGCGTTTTATGCCTCGTTGTCTCCGCATGCATTCGATCACTCCTAAATGATCGCGAATAACGAAAGACAGATAAGGATCAGGATCTAAAGCGCTCGATATCAGGAGTGCGAAAACACGTTTGTAGTCCCTCATAGGAGAACTTACGTGGCTGTGCTACATGCAGAGGCAAGTCCCGAGTTGCGCCACTTCTGACCTTTTGGGCTCAGTTTAGAGTTGGACTGCCAACTCGTCGTGCACACCAACATTCCCCCTTGCTGAGGGGAGCTCTCAAGGTCGAAGTGCTGAATACAAAGCGTAACAAAACACCTCGACTAGCTTACAACCGCCCCCGAGAAATTGAGATGGTACAACCCAACGACAAGGAAAGAGTCGAGGATTTTTGGCCTGGAATGAAGCCACCTGGACGTACGTGAATTTTGCGATAGCGCTTGTTTACGATAATCCAGACATACATCCAGCAATCTAAATTTTTGCTCTCGTAGAGCTGCGCCCCATCGAGACAGACCATGAGAACGATGTCATTCTCTTTTATTTCTCCATCAACGACAGCGCCAAGATAATCTCAACCCATAGCGATATCATATATGGTAGAAACGCTGCCAGTTGTCCGGAGCTCCTCAAGAACCTGTTGCGAGCACTGTCTGGATGATGGTATAATGATTGTAGCTGGGGGCCTAAGGGTATAGTTGAAAACTTCTGGATATACTGTGACGGATGCCAGGTTGATAGATTTCAATCAGACCTTGTGGTGGGTTGCGCAGCCTGTCGAGTGCGTCGTCGGACAACTTGGAAAAAAATTGGGTTATTCAATGAAGCATTCTTCTAAAGGAGGATAAACTCCATGGCGTCCCTGATTTTTTGGGGAAAATGCGCTCTGAGCAAGGTGCTCGACATCAATATTAGGCCTTTTCCTGCGTTCGAAGTTGAATTCATACTGATGAGCAAGGTTGTCTTGGGGGGGAGGGGCTCGCGCTCGTCTGCAATTAGTCGGCCGTCTTGGGGGTGGAAGTGCTCGCGCTCGTCTGCAATCATTTGACTATCAAGTTAGTAAAATCATTCCTCACCTCAAAATCATCGCCCAAAGTTATTGCATCTTCATCTACTTGCGGGTGGCCCATGTGCTCTTCAGCCTCAGGTAGCAAGTCCGGCACCGTACTGCGTGCGCGCTTCCGATGTCGAACACGTTTAGCATAAGATATCTCTCGGGATCGTTTGCGAGTTCCTGTGCTATTGCAGCACGACGAGTAGCAGAAGGAACTGCTTCATTTATTTCATGACGCGGAGCCTGCATTCTGGTTTTCTCTTCCATCGTTTCGGCCTGTTGAAGGTGCTCATACGATGTTGTTCTCGAAATAGTATGGGGCCGACCGAAATTGTGCTTGCTACAGAGACATATGAATTTAGGTGCGCTAGCGGATTGCTCCGAACTCGAGCTTGACGGTAGCATATAGAATACCAGTAGCTTGACCTTGGATTTAAAAATCAACGCAAGTATATAGGATATAGTGTGAGAGAGAAACACTTCGATGCAAGTAGTACAAGCAGACAACGTAATGTTACAATGCGAAGTTTGCGCGTTTGGATGTAAAAACGTTATGATGTATAGCATTCGTGCAGTCGCAACGTGTTGCACTCGAGGATTACCGATTTTGACAGAGAAAGCACATTTCAACGTATCCTGCCCTCTCCCGTCACAGCAGGTTCTCACTGGAGTTAATCCTCCGAGGTATGGCATCATGCGTGCGTTTAACAACAACTGCCAGCACAGACACTTTTATTGTTAACCTGATATGACGAGGCGCAAAAGTGGTCATCAAGTGAAAAATTAATGGAAAGCAAACTACTTCTACTCACATAAAGCGGTAGGCAGACCAAATGTTTGCAGCAGTCACCATCTCTTTGGCAAGTGGCATTCGCATTTCCACATGACTTTCTCGGGCCACGTCCCCCGACAGACAGGATACATGCCGCCAAAGTAACGGCAACGGCAAGGAAGGAGTAACGCATTGTTTGTGAGGTGGTATAAACTGCTGTCTCTTTGAGATGGGGTGGACGGTAGGAATACGGCTTGTTTTTATACTGTCGCAGTCGACGCTCAGTATTGTATACTTGGCAGAACGGCCATTTGTCTTGCGTGTGATCCTTGGCTGCAGGGACGTTGGGCAAAACCTATCATCTCCATTCATTATGTGCTCGTTGAGTTGGCCGCAGCTTCTGATTTGAACCTCCTTCATTCATTTACTTGTAGAAAAATTGAACAAAACAAAGTGCGCACCTAGGTCCCGCTGCCTCTTGTTTGCTATCCAGCACTTCGAGTTTGAGGGTCTCCTCAGCCAACCAATGTCAGTGATTTGATCAGTTGATCAGTTTTCACGAAGAGTTTAGGCAGAACCTATGGCATTCGGATATTAATGTAGAATAACAGATGCACGCATATGCTTCTTGTGGGACAGGACAAATAGAAGTGCGCTCCTTCTGACAAGATATGCAATGTTACCGAGGAGCATCCTTCGCCACCCAGTCGCTTCGGGCTTGAACGTATTCCCGGTATGTTGGTTGATTGAAGCCGACCTATGAGGCAGTCTCTCGGGGGCGGTTGTAAGCTAGTCGGGGTGTTTGTGTCACGCTACCTCTCCTTTGTTATTCAGCACTTTAGGGTCCGGGATAAAACTGTTCGGGCAAATATTAGCAAGCTTTTTAGCCAGGTACACCGTCACTCTCCGAAAACCAATACTAGACCTCCAAATATAGTAAGGTGTGGTAGGTCTATTTCGAGACGGAGAAACTCATGATTTATGCGCACCGCCGCACGGTCACTCTACTTCAACTCGATATTGACTCTACCCATTTCTCAATCAACAGCAGCACCAATGTGACTGTAAACATGTGACTCACCACCGTTGGGGAGGAGGCAGACTTTGCCATTGTACTTCTCAGATTCAAAACGTGAGTCGTCAGGACGCAAAGCAAAATGCTCTTACTAACCATTGGCACGCAGCTGAACATTAGACAGCAGTCATTACTTGTTTCGCAACTCTCGAACTTTTTTTTACATTTAACAGCTTTGACAGACATGATAGATTGCTACGATGCACGTACTCAATAGGCAAGTCCCGACCGAACCGTGATCATTTTCTTCGAGTTGCGTCGTTGATGATCTCCCCGTTTATGCCTAACGTCTTACTATCACTTCTGAGTGTCTGTTTAATCTGCACACCCTCTGGTTACGGACAATCAAAATTCTAGAGTGTTTTGGGCTCAGATTAGAGCGATGAAGCCAAAACTCGTCGTGCAGATCGATCGACTCACCGAACCACCAACATTCTTGAAAACCGCTCCCATGCTCTCAAGGTCGAAGTGCTGAATAGCAAAGGAGAGGTAGCGTGACACAAACACCCCGACTAGCTTACAACCGCCCCCGAGAGACTGCCTCAGAGGTCGGGTTCAATCAACCAACATACCAGGAATACGTTCAAGCCCGAAGCGACTGGGTGGCGAAGGAGGCTCCTCGGTAAAATTGCATAAGGAATCTTGTCAGAAGGAGCGCACTTCTATTTGTCCTGTCCCACAAGAAGCATATGCGTGCATCTGTTATTCTACATTAATATCCGAATGTCATAGGTTCTGCCTAAACTCTTCGTGGTTGAAACTGATCAAGTCATCAAATCACTGACATTGGTTGGCTGAGGAGACCCTCAAACTCGAAGTGCTGGATAGCAAACAAGAGGCAGCGGGACCTAGGTGCGCACTTTGATTTATTCAATTTCTACAAGTAAATGAATGAAGGAGGTTTAGATCGGGAGCCACCAACTCGGCAATTACGGAAGCGAGGGGTTCTGCCTAACCGCACGCTCAGTGCCAAGGATCACACGCAAGTCAAACAGCCCGTTCTATCGAGTATACAATACTGAGCGTCGACTGCGACAGTATAAAAACAAGCCGTATTCCTACCGTCCACCCCATCTCAAAGAGACAGCAGTTTATACCACCTCACACAAACAATGCGTTTCTCCTTCCTCGCCGTTATCGTTGCTTTGGCAGTATCTATCGTGTCCGTCAGTGCATGTCAACGCACGCTTGCCAGTTGCAAAGTAAAAAGTGACTGCTGTACAGGCTTGAACTGCGAAACGCTTGTGAGTAGAAGTAGTTTGCTTTCCATTAATTTTTCACTTGATGACCTACTTTTGCGCCTCGTCATATCAGCTTGCGGGTAACAAAGTCTGTTCCTGACCGCCTCGACGGTCGAGTACGCGCTTCAGACTACTATTTACGACAGACACCTACACAAAGAGATGTCAGTCACATGTTTTCGAAAGACTGCGCGTCTAAAACGGCCGGCGGGAACGGCGGACCTGCGGGGGTAACACTCATGCAGGGGCATTCGCGAGTCTTGAGATATCGCAGGGGCAGGGGCCCCTTAGACTAGCTGGTAGTGTCCGATGTATGGTCCGTTACTCCCAATGGACATAAATTGGATCCGCAAAACAGTCTGCTCGATTCAGTGAGTCAAGTGTCTACTTTCGTATCAGTGAGTCATAGTTCGATGTTCAAGTAAATAACCCACATTCTCACAAATCACGGATCGTGGGATCAGACATGACTTGATATCGATATGGCCGTTGTACCAAGCACTTTCGAAGGTAGACTAAAAAGTTAGGCTGCCTTTCGTTGTCTTGCACTAAGTTTGAATGTTGAATCATTGCACAGAATTCTGCATAGTACACCAATTTGTCGTAACGAGATCTTTTTTACTGAGTTCAATAACAAGCGTAGTATGCTGGCATTGAGATATATTAATATCGAGTTAGGACTTATCAATATTTGCTATCATAGTCACTACTCTTGCCAGCGGTTAGAGACACTTTCGCTGCAGTTCGTTCTTCGTTCCCCCCAGTATCTTGCATTCGACTGGGGGTAGTAAGTCATAGCTTACTATTCCTAAAACATCCTCAACATACCTAAAAACCGTCACATAGCCAAATGAATGCAGGAATGGATTCAAGCCTGAAGTGACCCTCAGTAATGTTGCATAAGGAACCCTGCCAGCAGGACCGCACTTTTATCTGTCCTGTTCCACAAGAAGCATATGCGTGCATCTGTTATTCTACATTAATGTGCGAATGTCATAGGTTCTGCCTAAACTCTTTGTGCAGACAGATCAACTCATCAAACTACCAACACTGGCTGAGGAGAGCCCTCCAGCTCGAAGTGCTGAATAGCAAACGAGAGGCAGCGGGACCTACTAGTAGGTACGCACTTGTGTGTGTTCTGTTACTAACAGTAAATGAGTGAAGGAGGTTCAAATCAGGAGCTGCCAACTCAACGATCACACAATGAAGGGAGATGATAGGTTTTGCCCAACGTCCCTGCAGCCAAGGATCACACGCAAGACAGATGGCTGTTCTGCCAAGTATACAATATTGAGCGTCGACTGCGACAATATAAAAATGAGTCGTATTCCTACCATCCACCCCATCTCAAAGAGACAGCAGTTTATACCACCTCACAAACAATGCGTTCCTCCTTCCTCGCCGTTATCGTTGCTTTGGCGGCATTTATCGTGTCTGTCAGGGCATGTCAAAAAGAGGGCGGTTTTTGCCCAACACCAGACTCCTGCTGTGCAGGCTTGAATTGCTCCATGGGTGTGAGTAGGAATAGTTTGCTTCACATCAATTTTCACTTGATGACCCACTTTTTATGCCTCGTCATATCAGGCTGGAGGTGTCACAGTCTGCAACGGTGAGTCAAGTGTCTACTTCCGTATCAATGAGTCACGTTTCGATATGCAGAATGAAGAAATGGGTGCACCGGCGCACTCTCACAATCATGGATTGTGGGATCGGACAGGACTACTAGATATCAATAGTATCGCTGTTGTACCAAGCACTTTCGAAAGTAGAATAAAAAGTCAGGCTGCCTTTCGTTGTCAAGTCTGAATGTTGAATGGTTGCACCGAATCATACACAGTCAAAAGATCATGAATGTAACGCTCGCTAAAAGCCATCACCTATTTAGTAGGTGATGGCAACCAATATTCTCCGTTGCACCCTTAGTTCTAGTATTTCCTTTTTCATACTTTTAGTTCCTCGTCCTACAGTATTTAAGTCGACACCTATCTACTGGTAGGACATTCGATCTTTTCCCACTTGAATAGACTTAGTTTGGGCAGTCACTCTCGTCCGAATCCTAAGTCCCTTCAGCCTTCGATTCTCTAGTGTGAATGTATCTTGATACATCACATATTTTTGACTCCTATAAAAAATATAAACTCTATCACCTCGCTATAGCCATCGTCGAGGAGGCCTGATCACCCTCCAAAACCTTGACTCCTCTATAAACCAACTTCGACCCAAAAACCTACCAACGATATCGTCAGAAAAAGCATACCTGCTAGCGCGCTAGAATAAGTGTTGATGGCCGCACCTCCAACGAAGGAGGCGCAGAGTCTCAGGACAGTAACCCTGCCCCTGGAGACGACGGGAACGATGGCCTTCTGGCTAATCCTGTCCCAGAATTCGGTCCTCAGGACTTGAATAGGATGACCTCGAGGTCCTCTCATGTGATAAGTGCTGAGATCAGCCCCACCGTTAGTAATACAGCGTCATCTGTGACTGATGAAATGCACCGAGTTTCAGGAACTCAAAACATTGATGCACTTGGCACTATGTTTAGTAAGGAGCCTCCTACTGGACCTGTAATAGGACGTCTACGTACCATTGTAGTCCCTGACAATACAAATACCCCTCGTCTACAGTCCTGTTTTTGATTGGTCAGAATCAATGGATGATGAGGAACTAGGCAACCCACCTGAGTTCCCAACAACTGGACCAAGCCCTACCCCATCTCAAGTTAAGCTTGAGACTGTTAGTGAACACGCAGAACAGAATGATGAACCCGAAGCTACTAAGCGCAGTGTTTTAGTTAGTGATGTTCTGGCCTGGCTTGGGCTCAAAGCCCCGGCTTAGGCTCGGCCTGGGGGGGCTTAGGCTCACCAGATTTCAAGCCTGAGCCATGAGCCCAAGCCATCCCAAAGCCGGGGCTTGGGCCCATGCAAGCCACGGCCCACATGCTGAATTGCTTGAAATTGATGTCCGAGCTCCACCATGTTGTTCCCAACACCACGAACACCATGTGCAAATGCCCAGCACACGTCAGCAACTGCTGACTGTGGCTCAGACGAATACAGACAATGGACGAGAGCAGGAGAAGGCAGTGAGAAAGAGAAGGTGGACTGATCGGCACTCGAGATGACTAGTGCTGAATACTGATGGATTATGTTACGACCCAGATTAGTACATCTTGAAGGGGCTCAGTATTATTAGTTGGTAATGTATCACTTACCTGGTTTGTATCTTCAAGCACGGCATCCCAGTTATGTTTGTGTGCAAGAGCAATAGCACGGTGCCCATAGCAGATGAATTTTCCTTTCTTTCTTGTGTGAATATGATCTGTGGTATGGTCAAATCGTGCGTGTCATAGTAAGAGTCAGTAATGAGGACATGCCAATTGCTGAACACACAATGGGCGACCGCTTGTAGGGCGTGACCACTGACAGTGACAAGGTGTCATACCAAAGCCGCAGCTTGGGCCACTGGCTTACATCAGCAAACTACTAATTTGGTGACAGGTTTCACATGAACAACAAGCGTACACAAACTGTACAAGGTATTACAGATGTACAAGCAATTCAAAATTTGGAGCGGCTAAGTACAAACAAACAGGCGGACAAGGACTACAGGGTGTACAAGCAATACAGATTATACACATAATACAAGTATGTATCAACACTAAGACTCTAATTTGTACCGCCAGCCCTGCACCTAATAAACGTTGGAATACCATTTCTCCTCCACTCGATATGCATGTGTCCCACGTCGAGGTCAGCCATCATTAATCGCATGTTCGCAGCTTCTACATGACAGCAATGGAGATTAGTAAGTACTATGTGGTGCTCCAAGATGCTGTCTGCAAGGTCTTTTTGGGCTTGACAAACCCTACGTTTTGCTTGAGCTGCCTCTAGTGCAAGATCAGAGTGGTCTTCTTCGTCTGGTTGATTGAATAATGGGTAGTCAAGGTCCTCAGGCTTATGTGCAATGAATAAATAAGTACAATCAAAGACAGAAAATCGGACGCACGAACTCACGAACTGCAGGCCTCCAGATGAGCTGGGCTCGTCTTTAATGACGCACGATCCCATTTGAGAAGATAAAGTTTTGTTTGGAGAGAGACTTTGGCAGGACGTGCGGTGTCCAACTGATGTTGCATCATAAGGTTTTTGAACACGATACTTGAAGCGAGTATTCAGTGAGCGCAAGGACCGAGTTCTTGGAGAAGAATTGCAAGACAAAAATGAGACTACAGAAGAGCTTGGAGATGAAGTTACAGAATCATTCATCATATGTAAATATAATATATCGTATTATGATGGGTGTACGAGCAAAGATAAGTCTTAAGCTTAAGCGTGTATGAGCACTTGAAGCGTGTGAACAAACCTTTGCTTCACAACCATGTCAATATCATGCCCAAAATGTGGGAAACTATTCAGCAAGGAGTCCAGCGTCACTCGCCACCTCAGTCAGCCTTGATCATTGTGTCATAGTTCTATTCGTGACATGGTGGACATTTCTCAATTTGCGGAGTCAGTTCTACAATTATGGCGATCCCCCGATCCAACTCTTTACCATCATGATGGTATGAATTTGGACGCATATCCTTCACATTTCGATGTTGACTTCTTCGAGACAGAGGGAGAGGAATCCATGAATGCAGAGGAACAGTACAAAGATGCAGGGACATGTTACTCTCAAGATGGCCTGACGTTCTTGAATCTTTTTGACGCGGACGAGCATGCAGAATATAGAAAGGATAATTTATTCTATCCTTTTGCATCAAAAGAGGAATGGGAAATCACTGATTTTCTTCTTCGTTCTCCCCTTAGTATGTCTGCAATCAATGAGTTTCTAATGCTCATAATAGTGAGTGCTCTTCACGAATGCTGGCGCTTTGAGATCTTACAGACTCACAACTTTGGAGCATTTTCTCCTTCTCGCAATTCTCAAGTCTCTTATCCTTCTCGTATTTCTTAATATCCTTCTCGCACTTTTACTGATCATGTCCTTACTTTACAGATCCGCGGATTGAAGCTTTCATTCAGTACAGCTAAAGAATTGCGAAGCTGAGCTGAGATGCTACCCAAGGGACCAAGCTGGAAGTGTCAAATTGTCCCATCTCTCCATTGCACCAAAAATCCAATCCAACTTTTTTGGAGGGATCCGGTCGAATGCTTAGAAGCCCTCTTCAGCAACCCCCTTTTCCATGACAAGCTTGATTTTGTCCCTTGTCACGTGTACACGACCGCAGCACGGCTTACCCGCGTTTATTTGGAGTGGCTGACAGGCAATTTTGCTTGGGAGTTCCAGGTATGTGCGTCTGAGCCCCATAACATGCGCTTTCTTACATAGGGCCTACAGAGTCAAGTGCCCAGAGGCGCTACAATTCTTGGCACAATCATTTCTTCCGACAAAACAAATATCACCACCATGACTGGCGCTAGAGTCACTCATCCGCTTCTTCTCAGTCTCGCTAATATCCACATGCAAACTTGCATGAAACTCTCATCCAGGGCCTTCCTACTCATAGCACTCCTCCCTATCCTGCAGTACTTACACCCTAATCAATGGATGCGAGGTGTTCTTGAAGACCGCCTCATACATCAATGTCTTTCCATCGTCTTAAAGCTGTTGATGATTGTGGCCAAAATTGGGATAATGATGTCTGATCCCATCGGAAATGTTCGCCATTGCTATACGCCCCTTGCAGCATACATTGTTGATACCCCAGAAGTGTGTATGCTTGCGTGCGTACACGGGAAAACCTCCCCATTTACGATCACATCTTATCTGGAGTTTGGGGACAATTTTCGTCACCCCGAATGTACACACCATATCACTCTTGATCAGCTTGCCAAGATACAAGTTGATCCCAATGACCTCAAAGGTTATTTTGATGCATGCACCATATATTGTCTAAATGGTGTCCATGCACCCTTCTGGCAAGATTGGCCATTTGCTTGCCCCTTGGTCTTTCTCACTCCAGAGGCTCTACATCACTGGCACAAGCAATTTTTTGATCATGACCTTCAGTGGTGCATTGAGGTTGTTGGAGCGCAAGAACTCGACTTTTGGTTCTTGATTTTGCAGCCAACCACAGGTTATTGTCACTATTCTGGTGGAATAACGAAGCTCAAGCAAGTCACGGGCAGAGTCCACCGTGATCTACAGCGTTACATCGTCGGTCTCCTCATCGGTGCAGCCCCTCGTCGATTTGTGATCGTGATCCATGCCCTTATGGACGTCCTGCTACCTGGCGCAGTCCTCTTCTCCAGACGACAATTTATTGGCATCTATTGACCAATCTCTTTCGACCTTTCATCAGCACAAAGATGTTATCATGACTGTTGGGCGCATGGACCGGTGCGAAGAAGACAATTGACAATTGGTATATACCTAAGCTAGAGCTAATGCAAAGCATCACCACCAGCACACGTAAAGTTGGAGCCCTCATCCAGTGGTCTGCAGACTGCCACTGAACATGCGCATGTGTCCGAAATCAAGGAGCCTGCACGACAAGCTAACAACAATGATTATGACCCTCAGATTTGCCTGTCATTTAGATCGACAGGACAAGCTGTGGCGATTTGGGATTGCTACGATGTTGAAGTGTGGTGTCCTTGATCCAGACCCCGAAGAATTACCCATGGATGAGGGAGATGATGAAGACATTGCTGAGCTCGAAGAAGTGTCTACTGATCAACAAACTGCACTCCTGGAGGGGCTTAATCACATGCGTGCCAATACTAACTACTTCATCAAAGCTAAGGAGGTGGCTACTGTACCTCGTGGACCTAGCACTCATCCTCCTCGAATGTTTACTGCTGGCAATACCGCTATCCATCTAAATTATAGTCCAACTCGCACTGGAATGAAAATTGATGATGTCGCAGACGAGTTCAACATACTGGATCTTTGTGATGCTATTTCAAACTTCTTGCGACTTGACACGAGGAATAGAGATGTGATTCATGGGGTTGGAATCTCAAGAAGATCGTTAATTGACCGTCCTTCTACTCTGCCTTTTGATCATGTTCAAGCACACAGTTCGCTTGCAGTAAGTTTCCTTCCATGATCCATGTGTCATCTTACCAGCACAAACCTTGCACACCTCTCCACCATGTCCCAGGTGGCCGAAAGGCCAATGAGATGCCGTCCTTATCAATGTTGATAGAGAGTATGAGTGGCCCCAGTCAGGGTTAAGGGGTGAGTCCTTTTTGATTCTTATCAATCTGGCTGAAGTGTGACTCCTTGGAAGGGCATGCCATCTGTGAAGTGCAGCTTATCATCTGCCCAATGGCCTGACAAGGTTCTCGTATTACTTGGCGAGATCAATATCTATGCTATGTGCATAGCCTGAAGGTTGGCACAGTCCATCCTGCCACTGGGATGCATCTATTGAAGCGTGCTAAGCATGGGGATGGTACTCCAGTAGGTAACATAGTTCCTCTCAAGCAAATGTGTGCCTTTATCAGTATAATACCCGAGCTGGGAGCTGCAGCGGACGCGTGGTTGACAAAGGAGACTTCTGCACATTATTCCTCATCATTTTTTTGAACAAGTACTTCAACAAGCAGCTTTATTATGCACTTTACCATGCTTCACAACAGATAGATACATAGAATGGTGCTCAGAGATGTTTTCTGATAATCCTGATGCAAATGTTTTAATCCATTGTGATAACAGATAAGGAACGTGCACGTACACAGCCCAATTGGTAGTAGCATGCCTGAATGACAAGTTGAGTGTTGAACGGTAACCACCTGACTCGGACAATGCAGTCATTCATGTCATCCCGGCAATCTGAAATCGACAACTTCTTGCTCTACGCAACGATAAGCTCTGTTGGTGTCCCTTCTGGCCCACACACCTTAGATACTACGCAAGCTCTCCTCAAGCAAGAGCTGAAAAACCGCCTGATTCATGAAGGTATTGGAAAGGGTGCCAGAATACCGTTGGACAAATCCATTTTTCATCATCTTGTGAGAAAAACTACTCTCCAATTGAGCGAGATCAAGACAATTCAGTACGACAAAACAGGACCATCTGCATACTCTGGAGACAAATGGAAATTCCACCGCAGGAGAAAAGGAATCAAACGTACTTGTGGCGCAAAGGATGAACAAGATGATGGTACAGAGGACAGTGGCACAGAGCACGAGGATACAGAGGATCCTGATACAGACTCGGATGACGAGGATGCAGAGGATTATGATACAGACAGCGATGGTACGGATATCGTTGATGCAGAGGTCAAGGGTGCAGTGCTTGGCGTAGAGCCCTCTTTGACTCAGTGATCCATGGCCAATCTGAAACAGAAACATGGAGTTCCCAAGAGTACCAGCCTTCTGGATCGAAGAAAAGACATAGGCAGGTGCCCATGACAACTGAAAAAGAGTTTCAACGTCTCTTCTACACCATCCAGTATCACCTGCATCACAAACTGAAATCCCACCTCCCTTTCAACATATTGGCTGGATCCTGGTACTGGTCTGCAGAATTCTCCACCTCTCCTATACCAGATGAATACAACTGCCAGAAGCCTGACATAGCCCTGTTTGACTTTGCCATCAAAAACATGGGGAAGACATAGGCAGATGTCCTGTCCTTCGTGGAGCATACCTCCAGCGATCTCACTAAAAAGCGAGATATACCAGTGTTCTGGGGATCTACGACCAAAGCCTACTTAATGCTGAGAGCACAACCATGGCGTCGATTCGTCAGTTGGGTTTTCGATTTGTGCCAATCAGCTTCGTGCACATTACTTCGACCACTCCGGTCTCATCATATCCCATCCTTTTCACATCCATCAAAACATGGGCCCTGTGCTACTCACAGAGATGTTGGGCACCCTCACTCTATCGGATATTCACCATTTGGGTTTTGATCCAATGATCCACATGTGTAACACTGCATGCACAGGAATTCATTCCTAATTTAGCACACGAGGCAAAGGGCTGGGTGAAAGGACAACCATGACAGAACATATTCCATTATGGAGGTTCTGTGGAAGAGCCATGGGCTTTTCTGTCATGGAACGGTTTGTTATCAGTGTCGTTGATGAGGCAGGGAATCAGTATGCTTTAAAAGATTGTTGGGTGACAGAGGAGAAGAGAATGCACGAAACGACCATCCTGGAGATGGTCAAGGGCATCCCTAACGTTGTCCAACTCGTAGACCATTGGGACGTGTATTATGAAGGGGAGCCTGACAGCACAGCACACATTTGCAGCCAATACGACATTGGCCATCAGGATGACTTGATGTTCCGCAACAGATTCCACCACCGCATTCTCTTGTCCCCCTGTGGAGAGCCATTATCTAAATTCAGCTCTAGATGAGAACTGCTCACCGCCTTCCATGCCTTTGTAGTTGGTGAGTCTTATTGAGCATGCAAATACTTTTATCAATCTTTTATTTTCAGCTCATTACATGATGATTGAAAAGTGAGTCTTGCATGGGGACCTCAGTCCCAATAATTTTGTTGTTCATGAAGGTATCGGTTACTTCATCAATTTCGATCATGCCTCAATTCTAGAGGAAGGCAAGACTAGCACCTATTTGCATGGTACAGTAAGTTTCGGTATACATTTTAGTTATTCATTGTTCATTTCATTTTTTCAGGGGACCATGCCATACATTTCCATCTGTATTCTTCAGGCTATGCTGGATCTAGCCCCACTTGAGGTTGGCGCCAACATCCCAGGCCAGGATGCTGACCTGAACAACGTGGATGATTCCAAGGTGGCCAACAATGTCGACCTTGTTCCGCAGGCTGCCAATGCTCTGCAGAATGTCAACTTCGATACAAATCTAATCGAACACCGGCCTAGCGATGACCTCGAGTCCTTATTTTATATTTTTTTCGAGTTTATTGCGAAGTATGGGGGCCCACATGGCCAATTGGCATCCACCTGGTCCTGTCAAACTTTGCCATGGGCAAGCACTTATGAAGCTCTGGGCAATGCAGATACCAGATTCTTGGTTGCCAAGACATCCAAATACTTTGCGGAATTCCGACCTCTCATGCAGAAATGGGGCGCCATGGTTTACGATGCAAATGCGCCCCAAAATCAGGTAGAGATGACCCACGCTGGAGTCCTCAAGCTACTCAACATATTCATGAGATTGATTGGTGAAGAACCACCTCCTTTAGAACAATCCCAGAGTCTTCATCCCCGCACAGCAGCAGCATCCCAGAGTCTTCACTCCTGCACATCAGCACCCCATGCCTGTCAAATCCCCCCAGCAGGGCCATCTGAGCCTTTACTGTGTTGTTCTGCTCATCTTAGCTCAGCAAATCCTTCGATACCCTCTACAGCACTTTACAAGCCTTTGTCATCTTCGTTCCCCAGGGGAAAAAAAGAAGAACATGGACGACTCAGACGACTCGGAGGAGGCAATGAGGTGTCTGAACTTTTTTTCCATACATGTCATCCCACAACACCCTTTCCGAGTGCTGGCCTTCTCACAATTCTCAAGTCTCTTATCCTTCTCGTATTTCTGAACATCCTTCAACTCCCACTTTCAAAACTCAACTTGTTGTACCCTCTAATTAATATTATGTTCGGAGTCATGATACTGTACCTGTACATGTACTCTGTTGTGCTAGTTTAGTACATCAAGCCATCAGCTTATGTGATATGACTCTGGGTACTAATTGGTGGTGACAGGTGTTAGAATCTCGACACTTCCCACCTTGTCACTCGATGCCTCCGAAGAAGAGGGCCAGGCACTCATACAAATTCTCCGAGGGTACTTGACAAAGTGAGAGATCTACACAAGGCCAAGGTGGCCATGCAGACCAGTTGAAAAAAACTGGCAAAACCTTAGCGGCCCCAGCGAGGAAAGGTCGGAAGGAGACCAATCTTGACATTAGTGATGCAGAGGAAAACCCCATGGCTCCTTCCCAGCTCCGGAAACTGAAGAAAAATGTATGTAGTCGACATTCTAATATAAACTCCCAAAAGCTAACATTCTTCTAGGCTACTACTAAAAGCTCCCTGACCGGGAGCTCCAATCCTACTCAGTGTTCCATTGGTATCAACAAGAATGTTCATTCTGGACACCAGCAACCTAATTCAGGACACAACATTCTGGCGCATCTCTCCGAACAGCCTCAAGTGCAGCTCAGTCTTCAGGTAGGTTTGGGTTTCGGCAGCCCACTTCGACTGGCAGTCAGAACATCCGGAAGGCATCATGGTCCAATGAGCGTACCCGTGACTCGGAGGAGGAGGCTGGAGATCAAGCTCCAGAACATGGTATCGGTGATGATGACGACCAGGACCAGGACCAAACTGACAGGGGAACTGAGAAAAGGTACATCTTCTGCTACTATCTCATCCGTCTGTTGTCACATGTGCCTGATGCAGGGACGGAGCTCAGGACCAGGAGCAAACACTTGAAATAGGCGATACCACGGACTTCAGACAACATGAAGACAATTTGTATGGCGAGTATGGAGGTGAAGCTCAGGAAGATGGTCCGAGTCAAGGTATGATGGGATGTCAACTAATTAACCTGATGCTTAGGGATTTCAATCAAGGTATTGATGGGAATTTTGACGACGAGCATGGCACTCAGGACAGGTGGTTTTCATGATGATTTCAACTACGAGCTCAACGACGCAGCCAGAGACGAAACAGAGGAAAGTGTTTTAATTTTTGTCTTGAGGTTAATCTTATCACATGCTCTTCAGGAAGCTTTTGATGTTCTCGAGCATCATCAAATGAAGAATGGACGGCGCAAGGCTCCTTCCTTAACTTATCTATTGAGGGCGAAACATACTGAACACAGACGTGCTTCTAGCCAGTCGAAGTCTCCTCGTCGACTGTCACCTTGACGTGTGGTGTCTACTGGGGCTTCTGCTCTAGCGCGACCTCCTAAATGTGAGTGCTCACCTCACATTACTTCTACCCACTCAAAGTATCCAGACCAGTGTTCGGTGTTGCCTCATAGACACACATCTCAGCATGTCTCATCTACGCGCCCTTCTACACGCTCAAAGTCTCCATATTGGCATTCAGTGTCGCCTCGTAGACACACATCTCAGTGTGTCCTGTCTACATGCCCTTCTTCCTCCCACGTACACTCTCACCATTCTACACACTCAGGGTCTCCATATTGGCATTCAGTGTCGCCTCGTAGACACACATCTCAGTGTGTCCCATCTACACGCCCTTCTTCCTCCTGCATGCACTCTCGCCATTCTACACACTCAAGGTCTCCATATGGGCATTCAGCATCACCTCATACACACGTATCTCAGTGTGCCCCCCACATGCAGTCTCCTCATCGGCGCCCTCCATCCAAGGGAAGTACTTCCTCCAGTCGGGCTACACACGATGAGCCAGATTCATACAGAAAGAAGCACAAGGCCAAGACAGTCCAAGAGGACCCCACAAAGCTCGGCTTTTACCCACCTGCCTGGCAAGCATTTTTACAGGCAGTGAAGTTAGAGATGCATCTACAGGCTGTTCTAACGCATCCCATTCCAGATCATTGAGATGCGCTACAACTTGTGCAAGAAGTTCTTGACACTGAATTGTGGATGTACCACAAAAAAAATCAAATTGGACAATGGTAAATAGGTTCCTCACATTGTCTGACCCCCTTTGCGAATCTCATCTTGCTTCTTAGGCTATTTCCCGCAGTACACGACACAGATGTCATGGCTGGTAAGTGTCTCATTAATGGATGTACAATAAACTTATATCTTTACTGTCAGCTCTGCGATGATCTATTTACGTTTCGCACGGAGCTGAAGAAAGTTGTTATATCCATCACGAAAGCATCATACAATATTTTCCCGAAGGGCACCATGGCGCGCAAGGACGAGGTAAAAAAATGTGTCATTGTGAAGGCCACCAAGTTACTCAAGACCGGTGATTATCTTCATGTTCCTGATTCATCTAATGTATGGTTACTTGTTTACGCCTCCCAAGGCAGCCACTCACTATCAGTTTTATAGGGCAAATGGAAGAATTTTGTCTCGCAAGCTCTCAGGGATGGCTGCCTCAAATTCTACTATGGTAATAGCAAGAAAGCCCTCAAGAGCACAGATAAATTTCGATGTGCAATACCTGTCAATGGGCTGCTTCTTGTGGGCGCTGTGGTGCGCCCTGTTATTTATTTTATTTGTGTTATTTAGTCATTGACAAATCAACAGACGAAGGGCGTCCTCACTGGGTTTCACGAGACCGGCACTGACAAAGTCCCAGACCTCTCCACAGATAAATGTAGGGCTGACTTCGACTTGTTGCAGAGGTCTGTAGATGCACTTCTAAAAATTCCTGACTGTCGCGTGGAGCTCGAGGAGATGTTGGAACAGTGGGCTATGATTGGGGCGGGTGACCTTGATTTTGACAAGGACAATACAGGAGGCAGTGACATGAAGGATGTCAACATCATCTTATAATACAGCATACTCTCTTGTTCAGCATATTGTAATTTGTAACAATCAGCACAGTTTTTGCATCCTTTACAGGCCTGTACAATGTCTAGCAACTGCATAAACCTATATAACATGTGCCGCCTATACAACATGTACTACCTATACAATATGTCTCACCTACACAACATGTATCATGTGTATTGTCTGTACAAAGGCACAGACCTGTAACATTTGTATATATTGTGAGACCTTGTGACAGGACTGTAAAGGGTAGACTTTCCTGTGTGACTGTAAGGCTTGTACAACATTGTACAGGTACCGGCTGGTTTGCTGATGTAGGCTTTTCTGAATCCAAGCCCAGGCCTAAGCCCTGCTCAGGCCGTGACTTAGGCCTGGGCTGGGCCCAGCCTATTTGGGCCCGGCTTGGGCCGGCCCAGGGCTTCAAGCCAGGCCTTGCACATCACTAGTTTTAGTAAACTATCTGCGTGATTGGTCTGAGTTCGACAAAGATATGGCCAAATTCAATCTCCCTGGACCAAATGAATTGGATGAATCCCTTCAAAAGATCTGGGATGACAATAACTGAGGCGGCTCTATTCGAGTTCAAAACTTCGCCCTAAGACAATTCCGCAAAGCAGCTAAAGAAGAACTCACTGAGAAAGATGAAGAAAATGTTAATCTTCGAGACCGTATTGCAGAACTTGAGCTGCTCATAATCGAGGCTCAGACGAGGGAGGCCATGGCACAGAAGCTACTCAAAGAGACACACAGTGTAGGGATCTGCACGGGTAAACCCTGGGGTGTCGGAGACGTCACCTGCACCCGCACCCCAAGGTATACCCATACCCCAATAAGGGGTGTGGGTTTTGCAGTGGGTACAAGTAAAAGGTACCTGGACCCGGACCCTTCAAGGGTGCACCCGCAGGTCCAGAGTAAAATGCATTATACCTTACTTTACAAAACATGTGTAGTAGCTACTGAAACATGATGTCAATCCAGTCCCAACCATCCTCGAGCTCTTCCTCCTCCCCTTTGACATCAGACATATTGCTAACCTTTATAACATTCTTGGTCTTCACAAGATTGAGGCTGCTCCAGGAGCTGAGGCATAGCAGTGCACAAGTTGATTGGGCTGATAGACGTGAACGGACATGCGAGAGTAAGAGACGTCCACGGCTAAATAGCCATTCGACGTCAACAGACGTGGCTGTTGGTAATTAGTTAGCTATTTGTTAGTAATTACGATGCAGAATAAAGCTTACCAGGGATGGTCAAATAATTGAGCACCATTCGAGACAATTGGGGGTAAGATGAACAGTGTGCATGCCACCAAGCTACTGCATCAGTGACATTCTCAATGTCTGTGCCAAGGTATCGGTCTAACTCGTTGCATAGGTCTGTTGCCTTGGGAGGTGCGAGTGCCGGCAAAGAGTTGAAAATGTTTGTGCTCTTATATATTGTTGAGTGACTGAAACAATGAATAAAAAAAAACATACCGAGATGTGTGGACCATCCTCTGCAGACACCATCTCAACATTGTCTCCTTCGACATCTGAATCACAGTAAGCACGCGCAAATTTGTCACATACAAGCGTCTCGGCAGTGTTGATCCAGTCGTCCTCCCATCGAGCTGTCTTGAAGTAAGCTAGTTTATGGCGAGGGTGTAGTACTGTAGTTCAAGTTATATCAAACATTAGTTAGCAATGATGATGAGGCCAAACGAAACAAAAAAAACATACCCATTGCAATGCGATACACTTCAGAGCGATCAGTAAGTTCATAGTACCTGTTTAATGTTTCCTTGGCCAAGCGAACTGCAGCACAAATAGCTGGCGAGTATTTTTTGTTGCGGGAGTACGACATCAATTTCTCATCTATGAGATCCATGGTGGGGATGACAGTGGCAAGGTTGGGTGTAGTGTGGGAGAAGAACAATGTTGCATCCTTCAGAATCTTAGGTAATACATTAGCGCAGTAGTTGTGGTTTGCTTGGACATACCTTGAGAATATCCCGAAGCTGTGCGATAATGTGCCACTCATGATCACCCAACTCAAACTTCTGGAGACCCAACACACGCCTCTGTGTGTTACTGTATCAACGGCTATCTGATGCTTGAGTGCATACTCGAGCATATCCAAGGTGGAGTTCCAGCGAGTCGACATGTCACGCGGCATCAGCATGACTGGGAACTTCATGTCTTCGAGGATCTCATGCCAGGCTGGAAGAATAACAGTTGTCGAATGGATGATCTTGTATGCGAGTTTGCGCACCTAGGAGACCATGTTAGCTTGAAGGTATGTGTTTTTTTTTACTTACCTTTACAAGTGCCAACTTAACTGGAAGAATGCTTGCTTCCAGCGCGAATCACTCATCATCGGCCAGCTCCTCCATTTCATTCACCCAACCATCATCATTGTCTTTAAGCTCATCATCCTCTGCAATCATCTCTGCATCCTCCCTATTGATTTCTTCACTCAGCTCATCAAGTTCCACCTGTACGCTGTCATTGTTGTCATTGGTGGCTGTTGCCGAGTCCAAGGCTATGTCAGCATGCTTCTTCGTCACATTGAACTTGCAAATCAACAATTTCGCAACGAGGTTTATGGTGTGCAGGAAACAGCGAGTGTGACTTGCTGTCCCTCTGAATGCAGGTACACTAGCCGCAAGTTTATCCACCATAACATTGTTATTCGATGCGTTATTGCATGTCATGCTCAAGATCTGGACCAATCATGTAAGTTACTGTGTGTTTGTCTTTAAAATTTACCTTTTCTGAAATACCAAATTCTTTTAGCATCTCCACAAACACATTGGCCAACTCCTCGCCAGTGTGTGACTATCACAACATTAGCAGCCACACATTTATTAAGGTAAGAGATTTACCTTTGCAACTTCAATTATGTCTAACGGTAGGCTTAGCAGAACACCATTATGCTCGAGGTGTACCAAGAATGCAACAAATGCTTGGTAGTTTGGTGAGCTCCATCCATCTGTTGTGAAGTTACTTTTGCCGTTATATTCCTAGTAAGTTTTTTCAATCTGAATTTCCAGCATATGTTTTGAACTGACTTGTAACATTTTAGCGACTCGTTGGTGAGTCTTTGCAAAGATGAGCCGAACATCACACGAGACTGTAGATGGCAAAGGTAAGTAGTATTCGGGCCTTCCCGTTTTCATTAACGATTGGAATCCTCGGTCCTTAACAACTTCGAATGGATGCAGGCTTTCTGATACCCACCGCACAATTTCTGCCCTGGAACAAGATGGCTTCAGCCCCAACATCAATGATAATGCGAAGATCTCACTTGGTTTCTGCCTGTGTGTGCTGGCAGTGTGAGTAAGTCACTTTACCTTTACCTTTTTGTTCAAATGATGCAGTAATTGTTCTGTTCTTCAGAAAACTTCCGACAATCCTTGTACGGACTTTGTTGGTGTCCTTGGCCTCATCAGCTGCACTCAATATCTCTTCGCCCCAACAAGACTTTATATGTTTGTGCATATTGCCAGTGGAGCATGCGTCTTTTTTGTCCAGGAAGCGGCAGATGCTTGCCTTGCATGCTTTTGCGCAACATTTGAACTTGTGTGCTCGTCGTCCATCAATCTCAACGATGTGGGGAGTGAGTTCAAAAAATACATAGACTGGTGAGACCCATTCATCCATGAGCTGTTCTGTTGTAATTCTAATTAGTTGCATTTTTTCGTGTATTAGGAACATACTTCGTTCATCCTCGGCACTCTTTGGACACGAACTTTGGTTATCATTTTCATTTTCGCTTTTTTCATGCTCGTTGTCAACAATAATTGGGTCATTGTGTAGCAATGCCTCCTCTTCCTCAGTCTGAACCACAGCACAATGATTCTTGCAAGGTGCAGGACCTGTTCCCACATCAGGTGGAGATGATGAGGCCTCAGCAGTGACTGGTCTATCTTTGGGTGTACCAGTTGGAGGGGTTGGTTTTGCCTTCTTAGGGTTGCTTGAGACTGCGCTCACACCCTTGGCGGCATCAATTTTCCGCTTCTTTGATGGGGCGGCTGCTTCAAGTTTGTCTTTGATTGCTGCTTTGGCCTTGTCCGTCAGCTTGGTGACCCGTTTTGCAGCTGCGGTAAATATATTTGGCTGCATGGTTGGTTGTAGAGTTGGGCAGGTGTTATTGTGATGATTAGTTAGTTCAGAGTTTGACACTTGTGGCTTTCTTAAGGTTTTTTTGTGTACTATTCATGTTGTGGAGTTTTCAATTAAGTAGTCTCATATTATCATTTTGACGGTTCAACCCGAGAAAGGGTGTGGGTGAGGGTACGGGTACCCCAAAGGCAGACCCCTACCCATACCCAAGGGACACCCTTACCCACCACCTGTGCAGGTTACCCCAACCCATGCTATTGCCTAATGCAGTGATCCCGTTCTTGAACCATCCACCGAAAATGCGATACCTACCACTGTAGAGATGCACAAAACCGAAGCAATCGTCAGTAACAAACCCTGTAACCTGGAGATGGTGATTGACCCACCCAGTGCCAAAGACCCTGCTCCTGATAAAACCAATCAGAAGAAGACTGATACCAGATATGGAGGGCGTCGTCCCTCCTACCTAAGAAAAGTTCAGTTAAACGAGCTATAAAGGGAAATCACCCTAGCGACTCTGACCCCTCAAGTATGTCGTCTGAATCCGATAATGACAGTGAAGAATCATCCACTGAATCTTCAGACAAAGAAGAGGAGATGAGATGCTCTGGTAAAAAGACCAATAGAAAGTCTTCAAATAAAAACCCTGCGTCTTCGAATAGTAAGAAATCGAGGACATTACAAGGGAAGGTGGATGGTTACCAGTCCAATGACCTTAATGCTCAACTCCTAGCTTTAGAGCCTGAGTCCGATCATGATAGTGACTCGGACAGTACACGGAAGATAAAAAGACTTGCACAACAAGAACACCATGCTCGATTGACTCTCCTGAAGTATCAGCAAGGATTCTTGAAGCACAAACCACCGTTTACTTACAATGGTGAGGTTAACATGTCCACATTCAAGAAGTGGGTCCATGAAGTACATGCATGGAGGGACAGGGCTAAGCTGTCAACTCCTCAGAGCTTAAGCATGATCGGAAAATATCTAGGGAACAATAAATATCGATTCTATGAGCGAGACATCCTGGACCTAAAGAAGAGATACTCGCTCACCAAATTGTTCGAGCAGCTCTTTGATTACATCTTCCCTACCAATTTCCGAATGTTGCAATGACAGAAGTTCCTCAATTGTCGCCAAGACGGTAAGCAATCGGTCCGAGATTATATCCGGTGCCTATGAGAACTCGCAGACAACGCTGGAGATGTCGACGAACGAGAACTTGTACGACAGTTCTGGATGAACTGTAAACCCTATATCAAAGCCTCATTGGTAGATAAGGGTTATGATCCTAACACAGTCAGTTTGGATACAATTGAAAGAAAAAAGTGTTAAGCACCGAACGTGCATTCATCAAAAATGCCAGAGATCCCCATGTCCTTCTAGCTCTGAACCCTACACTTGCAGCAGGAATTGCTGAAAGGGAAACCAGCCATAACTGTTGTGATCGCAGACATAGTAGCAGGACAGATCGGCGATCTAGAACTCACTCAATATCTGCTAACTCTGTTAACGCCCAGGTCCCTAAGTCTCAAAGTGATAACCCTAGATGCAAGGACACAGGGAACTCCCGTGAATCCAAACTGAACCGCGCTAGGTCATACAAAAGCCCTGAGACCCTGAACAAACTCAGAGAATTGAATCAGTGCTTCGAATTTGAACAAACAGAGCACTTAGCAAAGGATTGCCCCAAACGTCACAGACTACCTCCGTCCCACCTTTCAAAAACCTTATCCCTACATTCAAATGCTGTTGGAATAACTGCCGCAGATATTAGGTCTGCCATGATCAAAGAAGGATCCAAGCAAGGTCTGTACGGCTTTGCTATTGGAATCGCTGATGACAACCTCAATGAGTTAGAACACCTGGAGCACGCCAAGCATTTAGTAGTGACTCACCGGGCATTGTCGAATCTGCATATCACAGTACCCCTCACCACTGATGAGCTGGAAGATCCCATCTATGATCCCTATAGACCAGACCAATTCAGCCTAACTTGATGGGGAGATGTGAGCACGTACTTACTGTCAGACAAGCACAATAACGATGAATACATTGTATATTACTCACAGCTAAGTGACCCAGTGTTTGATATCATCATGTGGCTCACCATCCTAAAGATTCATAACTTCAAGTACCTTACCTGCACCAAAACATCACTACAACCTACCTCACCAGGCCCAATCACTACAGCATTGTGGCTCGATCCCAGTGAGGCAGAGGACTCTGACTCCTCATCTTGGGTAACCTCAGAGTGGGGAAGTAGTGATTTTGGAGATGATATCAACAATGCCCATGACTCGACGTCGTTTGATGACCTGCCTGGTCTCGAAACTTGTGAGTCGTGCGGCGAAGAGGAAGTGGGACCTACAGGTGAGTTCTTTTGCGGCATGGTCAAGCATACTAAGACTGACTTACCTGACTTGCAATCCCTCCATAGGCAGGCTGCAAGACTGAAGTCTTCCACCCATATTCTGCCTAAGTCGATCATCATCGCTGTTTTACTTGACGAGCCCATTCAGTGAATCAACCCATCTCACATGGGCAGCCAAGTGTGACAATGTACCACTAGGGACGGGCCATCCCATGTGGGCCCATGGCAATAATTGTGCCATGGTATATGAGTGGGCCGAGTGGACATTTGTACCCAAGACAGACAGATGGGCCAGGGGTATATAATATAAACAGTAGTATAGGAATGTATCAGTATGTAGGACATTATAAATAGAATATAGTCTACGATAGATACAAGTGGGCCAGATGAATGTCGGTACCCGATGCAAACAGATGGGCCAAGGGAATGTGGTATAGACAATAGTATACATCAGCAAAACACTAAATTTAGCACAGTTACCATGGCGGCTTACAGCATATTATAGCAGGTGCAGACTTCTGTAGCAATGTGTAGCGATCAACGACGGTATATATATAATTTCTACAGCATGATATAGCACCACACATCACGCTACAGCGAGCGACTCGAGAAGTTGGTACCAGCTCTTGGTTGTGACACGTGACCTCCGAGTCTAAGTTTAAACTTGAAGGAAGAGCAACTTTTAAAGCTGGCATTTACAAACATTGATTCAAAGTATGTACAATACTAGTAGTAGATGGGACATGGAATCAGAACAGTATAGAGGCTAGTACTAGTATTACTGCTTCACAACTTGAAGCCCAAAGAATCGGACACCATGTCACAATCGAGTATTTGACTCGGAGTTGTGCTTGGAGATCCTGTGAATAAAAAAGTGTCAGTAGTAGAAGTGGTTGAACGAATTTAACAGAGTACTACAATTACCTGCCAGTGGTGGTGAGCGAGCTAAATCTACTTCCAGGCTGAGCATACCACTATCAACATGACTAGTAGATTTGCGACAGCATTTTCGAGGTTTACTAGTAGCAAAGTCCTCCAACAACGTGATTCCACTTTTGCGGACCGAATGACATACATAACCAATGTCGATATCAGCATCCTCCAATTTTCTCTCAGCTTCTGTAGCCTCGAACTCGTAGAGTTTCCCAAGTGCAACATTCTGCTTGAGAACGGAGTCTGCAAGCATCTTCTCGCCTAGGTGAATATCTCGCTGTGCTCAGGTCACATTCAAAACAAGCTGAGCCTTGAATTCCTCACTAGCCCGGGTGTCATTGGAGTTAGTAGATTCCTGGGCAACATTGTCATTTGGATCCTGAGCATGTATGGGTACAGTTGAACTTACATTAGTATCGCTGTCTTTGCAGTCGGAGTTTGGCTCTGTTGTTATT